ATTTAATTTATGATTTTTATCTTTAATTGTTGAAATATTTATGATCTACAGGCATAATCTAAGGCTAGACTATATGTTGTATTATGAATAGAGATGGTTTGGAGGAGGAGGATTAGATAAAGGATTAAATCAATTATTAAATTGTGTATTATTCCTTTATGATGCTTAGAATGTCATAATAAATGGATTAATCTGGTTTACAACTATGATTATACATATTGACGTGTGTGGGTGATTTAAAATATGATCCTTAACTGTATTTACTTGTTGTACTGTTGATAGAGATTATATTGATGAGACTTATGTGGGCATGTATGTATGGTGGAACCACGTGAGCTGACTAATAAGTCTAGGACTCACTTATACCTTTTGCATTTATTAATTATGCGATCATAATAAGAATGATAAGTGTTAGTGATAGGATCATCGAGATAGCTAATAAGTTAAACTCCTTGATATTGTATGTCATTGTTATAGATGGTTTTGATGTTTGATGAGTAGATGGGCTGGCTAATAAGTTAAGTGACACTACATTGTGCCATTGTTAGATATGGCTTTATTAATGATGTTATATATTATATATGTGAACCCTGATACGAGCTTGAGGTATTAGGATCAGTAGTTAGGACTGAGGCGTATATTGCCGGTAGAGATGGGTAGCTGGATATAGAAGATGTGTGTGCCTTGGTAGAAGAGGACTCTTAACCACCTTGTGTGCAATTTTTCTTGAGATACCCACTATCCGGTTGAGACTGCTCTATAGTGTGTATTTATATCTATCTATCGATCGACTATATAGATATTGTATGAGTTGACTAGAGATGTATAGATTATTAGTTCTCTTATTAGGTTGTAGTAGAAAGAATCTGTTCATGGGTTTTGACCCCCCTTTATTATATTTTTCAGGTGTTTATCAATTCGAGTCTTAAAGGTGGTACGTACTGATTAGAGAACATTCATCTTCACTTTTCTAGAGTCATTAAAGTAGGAGTTCATCTTCGTTTGGATTATTTAGTTTGTTTACTTATTATTAAGTAGACTTGGACGTTATTTCAGTTGTGAGTAATGTTTGGATTCCCGCGTTATACTTTGAAGATAATTTGTATCAAAGGATTAGAGATTTATTATTTATCATGTAGTTTTTTTTCAGCGATATCTTGAGTGTTCGTGTATGGGTCTCTCACGAGTTTTCGTTTGTGGGTCTGGCCAACCGACGCATGAAAATTAGAAGTATCACGTATTATAATAATACAAAATATCTTATTTACTAAAAAGGTCATTTATAACCTTGTCTTCTCACACCCTACCGCTCCCTCTACACCCTCTCTCCAAGGGAAACGCTACGATTGAAACAACCAGACCGTAAAAAGCCATGAACCCTCATACTTTACAACAGAGTGGTCATCGACGTCCCCTCTCCGCCCTCCACCGCCACATTCCGACGACCCACTTGACGCACTTTCCGGACAAGTAGCCAAGTAAATATTTGCTTTGCTAAAAAGACAAATTTCTTATAAATCAACAGGAAACATACAAATGGACATTCATTCAAATTTTATTTATTATTTGTTGTGTCTGGGTGTGTGCGCGTGAGAGAGAAACCTCTTGGGGTGTCAAGAAATACAAATATCTATTCAATAAAATATCATTATTGCAAAAACCAATAGAAGTATACAACCCGTCCAACACAAATCTCACTTCGGAATTTTCTCAGTAGTAGATACCCTCTCTGATATGAATTTGAATGTTTGATTTGTATAGGGCACCGACACTGATCCGATTTGTTTAAGGCATCGACACCATTTGAGTTGTAAAAGTGATCGATGGAAATAGTGTCGTTCAGTTTGCAGTTCATTGTGGCGACACTGGAAGTGGACATAGCAGCGGTGGTGGCGGCTTCTGCGATGGTGGGCCGTGGTGGTAAACAAACCTTTGTCTGCTCTTCTTTCTTCAATGTTATTCGAGGGCATTTTAGTCAATATATGATGGTCTTTTTTGTCATTTAATAGTAGAGTTGAAGGCTATTACTGTCTTTTCAACCAAGAGAAGGGTAATTAAGCCTTACTGAAAATAATGTTGACATTTTCTTAGGGTGTCACCAAATCTCGGTCAAAATTATAAACACAGTCATGTTTGGTGGTGAGTAAATGAAATAAAATGAAGTGGGAATGGAATATTTTTGTTTTCATTTTTTAGTTTGGTAACTTACTTTAAAATTGGAATGATGATTCTTGCCTATTTTCAGAGAATGGTGATTCCCACTAATTCATTTCACTTTCTAACTAAAAGAATGACCATTCCATTCCCATTTTAAAAATAATAATAATAAATAAATAAATCATTTAATGAAATGTCGGTACATATGTATATATATTTATATATGTTTTACAAAAATTGGATATTTTTCAGTGCAACCAAACATGGGAATGAGAATAATCATTTCATTCCCATTCCATTATCTGATTTATTCCATTTCCCACTTTATTTTATTTAACCACACCAAACTAGCCATTAACACTTCACTCATATTTGACAATACTGATAACTTACATATTGCTAATATTATTAAATAATTATATCATATCACATCATAAAAAAAAAATTTGTTTTCAGTAAATTTTATCATTATACTTAGTATTAATCATTTGGTGGATACTATTGTTTTATGACTGTCCTTTCACGGTCACTGTTAGGATTGGTTAGTTTTAAATGTATTAATTATTTAAGTTTCTATTTTAATGAGACTCTATAAACATTACTTTTTTAAACAAATGTACCCTTTTAAATTATTTAACATTTCTTCTTCTTTCCCCTTTTAATTAATCGATATAGAAATGTGTGCCTGTGTATATATATATAATAACTACTGTTATGTGAATGAATTCTGAAAAAGGAAAAAAAAACTATAGATAGAATAATCCATTCTCAAGAGAGAGAGAGAAAAAAAAAAAAAAAAAAAAAAAAAAAAAAAAAGCTAGAACAAAATTCGAAAAGAAAAAAAAAATAATAATAAAAAATAAAAGAGAACAAGAAAAGAATCCATATACAAGATAGATTCTAAGATTTTTAAAAAAATACAAAATTAATTATATATATATACACACACGGATATATTTCTTTTTACAACTATTTTGGTAAATGAATTATTTGTTTTTTTTTTTTTTAAATCCATTTAAACAAGGATAGTTGTAAAAATAAAATATAAAAAAAAGAAACATATATATATATAGGAAAAAAAAAAAAAAGAGAGGAAAAAATTCATTCACTCAGGCTCCGTTTGGTTAGATGGAAATAAGTTAGAAAAGAAAAGAAATAGAAAACGAAAGAAAAGTGAAGTGAATGAAAGGAAAAAAGATTTTCTAGTATGCATTGGGTTAGTATCAAAATTTATCCAAGAAAATTATAAAAAAATATTAGTTTGTTAGTTTGGATAGTATGAAAATGAAAAGAAAGTGATTATGCATACCAAAACTATCCTTATGAATTAAAATAATAAATTATTAAATTCAAATATATAATTGTTTATATTTATTTTTATTATTTATATTTAGAATAAGGCTTCATAATATTTTCTAGGTAAAAGTAATTATTAGTTTAAGATAAACAAATTAAAAAAAAAATTAAAGACTACTGTTTGGGAGAAAAATTAAATATTTCACCATATAATATATATATATATATATATATATATATATATATATATATACCGGATTATGAGTAACTAGAATTGCGTAGAACAGAGGATTAAAAAAAATAAAAAATTCTATTTAGAAGCAAGATCTATTTTACCATGAATTTGGTTAGTATTAAAGTCTTTCGAGAAAGTTATGATAAAATATTTACTTATCCAAAAAAAAAAAAAAAAAGTTAAGATAAAATATGATTTTATTAATTTGGGTAGGATGAAAGTGAAAAAAAAAATAATTCTACTTACCAAATTACTTTTATATCAGTTAGAATTTAAAAAATAAATATTATTCAATAGATGATAAAAAAAATATATATTTATAATAAAATAAGGCAAACTAATTTTTAAAGGTTGGATTACACATAATTAGAGAGCAGAGGCTCAACTAAATATTAATATTTTTTTCTTTTATTTTTGAACCATCGAATTAGATACGTGGATTATACTAAAAAAGATGCACCTATCCTATTTTATTGAAAGATAAAAAAAATTTATTGCTTCATAAAAATAGTTGTTGAAAACTCACAAAATCACAAAAAGAGAGAATTACTCATCAACAAATACAAACAAGTTAGTTGGATAAGATAGGAAAGTCAAATAAAAGGGACTTCTTTCACGAGAAAATATCATTTTCGCGTGTTTTGTGCGTGAAAATTTTTGAGGACAAATAAACCGATGCGGAAACTAGATTTTTTTTTTTTTTTTTTCTTTTTTCCTTCTATCCAATCTCCAAAAAAGTTTAAAAATTTTCTCTTTCCTTTCTTTTCTAGTTGATTCCACCTAACTAAACGAAGCCTCTAGTATAGTTGTAAGTAGAAATATATAGTTGATCTCATAATCATCTTCTATGTGGATTATTTTCTCGTTTTTTTTTTTTTTTACCTTTCTTTTTATTCTTTTATTTTATTTTTTTTTGTTTTTAATTAATTAATTTATTTCAGAATCCATCCATCTCTTATGAATGGATTATAGTGTCTATATATATATATATTTTTGACCTTTTTCAATATCCATTCACATAACCGTAGTTATTATATATATATACACATACATGCACACACACATTTTTATATAGACAGATTAAAAAGGGAGAGAAGAAGAAAAATTAAATAATTTAAAAAGGATATGTTTGTCTAAAAAAATATTATTTGTAGAGTCTCATTAAAATAGAAACTAAGTAATTAATGGGGATAATTTATTTAAAGGAGCACGTGAGCTCACGTGCCTATACAGACTGATGTGCAAATGAGCTCTTCCCCAAAAGACGTACGTAAGGAATGACAAAAGCAGGATAGAGATCGTCCAGGATTTGAAATACGCACACGCAACACCCAATAGGCGCTCAAAGATAACACCACACATTGACACACACACAGTAGTGTGGATCAAAATGCCATTCGCAGGGAAGCTCTGTCTCAGATCCATGGATTCGAGTCTCAGAACTCTGATCATACATTTCGCATCTCTTCTGGTTCTTCTTTCAATCTTTTGGCCAGTATCAGAATCCAATCAGGTACTCAGAATGATCCGAATTCAAAGTCAACGTTTCATTTTTAGAGTGTTCTTCTATTCTTTTCCCTCGGATTGATTGCCGAGAAAACACAGGAAAACGAAAGAAAATTGTGTATATATTAAATAACACAGTTCACAATTTCTTGTATAGAGTTGTGCTAGCAGATGACTTTCCCGACAACCAAACAAAAGAATTTAGGATAGTATTGAAGAGTTTGGATGTGTTTACCTTTTTTTAATGCCAAAAAGGAAATTGAGAAAGGAGAAGTGTTGAATATCATGTTGTTATGGTTTCCAAAAAGGTAAAGAATGTTAACTCCATTGTGTTATAGCGTAGCATTGACTTAGTTGATTGGAGGGTCCTTTTTTTTTTTTTTTTTTTTTTTCTGCAATTAAACGGAGGAATTGGTTCTGTAATGAAGATTTTTGATTCATTTTGTTGACAGTTTTGTGAAGCTAAAACTGGATATGGTGATTCTGAGTGTGGAGTTCCGTTATCTCCTTCGAAGATCTTGATAAAGGGAGGAACTGTTGTGAATGCTCATCATCAAGAGGTAGCTGATGTCTATGTAGAGGATGGGGTAATTGTTGCTGTGAAGCCTAATATCAAGGTATATTATTTATTCATTGCCTGATAGGTTCCGGTTATTGGAATTGATTTTAAAATGAGTGATAAAATTCCCCAAAAGGAGCTAATTAGCTCACAACTTTTGCTTGATTGGTGAAAGGAAACACTATTAGCATTTTGTATAACCCAAATGTCAACTGTAAATAATAATTATTGTTCCAAGTTATATTACAGGAGTTTTGTGATATTGTCCCACGAATTTGATGTGCTGTGCAAATTTTACCATTCCAAAACACTGTAATACGCTTTCTTGTACAGAATGGCTGATGGGGATAAGTTTTGGTTTTGATATACTTCCAAATTTGTGGTGATTTTGAATGATTTTACTTCTATAAAAGGGCTGGTAGTCCAGTTTATATTTAAGGAGACAGATAATCAGAAGAAAACAATGCCCAATATGTTTTTCTCCAAGTTACTACTAGAAGAATTAGTTTTGAGAAAAGTCAAAAATTCAGCTTTTCATAATTATTACCATGATTGCAGTCAGGAACATGGCTCATAAATAAACATACAAATACATAAATCCCTCAAGTTATTTTGGTTAGACACTCTAAAATGTTCACTGACATTTGCACTTCATAGTATAATTCAATGCAATTATAGCCTGAATTTTCAGTAGGGGGATGAAGATTTCTGCAAAATCATAGAATTTGCAACCTATAAGTTCTGCAGTTCAAGCTGACATGAAATTTTCATTTTTTTCTTACTCTTATGTTTTCCTTTCACCATACTGGAAGAATATGGTTAATATTTCATTATGGTTGATCTGTAATGAGTTGCATCTTGCACTATCTAGGCCCACCTTATAGGCATCCATGCCTTTTATTTTCTTTGATATTATCTGGCTCCTTCACTTACTTTTATCAGGTTGTTTGTGTGATGCTTCTTTCTTTTCTTTACTGTTTGATGGGCATCTGATTTTTACACTGCCACATGCAGGTTGGTGATGATACTATTGTGCTCGATGCCACTGGAAAGTTTGTCATGCCAGGTGAAAGATTTTTACTTGGGACGTCTATTAGTTCAGTACTGGTGCTTTAATTAAACGTCTAATGTATTGAAAGACTGTAAAGGCAGGTGAAGACCTGAGATTATTTGGAATTATAACATGCAAATAATCTCTAAGTATTAATTGTTTTCTTTCATGCTAATCTATATATTATATGAGAACAGTTGATCAGTCATTTTGTCAACTAACAAACTTTCAGGAAGGACACATTTAAGACTGGAATTTTTAAAAATATATAGTATATACTGGGTATGTTTCCAAGGATGACCATAACTTAACAGCTAGTTGGGGAGACTAGATTATCATTATTTTTATTATTATTATTATAAGCTCTTCCATTCCTTGATGTGCATCAACATAATGCAAAGAATCTGCAGAATATATCAGCTCTAGTTCAAACCTGAATTATTTATCATTCTACTATTAGTTACAACTCTAAGCATCAGTAGAAAATATCAGCTCTAGTGCAAAGATCTTCCATTCACTGAGCTGCTCTACAATGTTTTATCTATTTCTAATACCTTGAAGTAATTACACAGATCTGATCTTGATATGTTGTACTGTTTTTTTTTTTTTTTTTTTGTTTTTTTTGTTTTTTTTTTTGAAAAGAGATATGTTGTACTGATATAAATAACATGCATAAGAAATTACATAGACCAGATCCTGATATGTTGTATTTTACATTTTTACTTGTGATGATAAAAGGAGGAATTGATCCTCACACCCACCTAGCTATGGAGTTCATGGGTACTCAGACAATTGATGACTTCTTCAGTGGTCAGGCTGCTGCATTAGCAGGCGGAACAACAATGCATATTGATTTTGTTATACCTGTAAATGGGAGTTTATCTGCCGGTTATGAAGCCTATACAAAAAAGGCTAGGAAGGCTTGCATGGATTACGGTTTCCATATGGCAGTCACAAAATGGGATGAAAGTGTTTCACAAGAGATGGAAATCATGGTTAAGGAAAAAGGTTTATTTATTTCATTCTCAAGTTGTAGCGTATGAATTTGGTTTTGTGATCTGATATTAATTTGTTAACCATTGCTGAATAGATTCCTCTGGATTTTTCTTTAGATCTGGATAAAATTCTAATAAAGTAATGTCTGTCAACCTAGGTATCAACTCTTTTAAGTTTTTCATGGCCTACAAGGGAGCCCTTATGATCAATGATGAGCTTCTATTGGAGGGGTTAAAAAAGTGCAAGTCTATTGGTGCCTTGGCTATGGTCCATGCTGAAAATGGAGATGCTGTATTTGAAGGGCAGAAAAGAATGATTGAACTAGGTATTACTGGTCCAGAGGGACATGCTCTTTCAAGGCCCCCAGTGGTAACTCTTTAATTACACTCTCTTTTGGTTTAGTTAACTGCTCCATATGAACATTAATATCTTACTGATTTCCTCAAATGACCACTAATCAACGTGTTGATTTCTAGTGGTTTATGCTCCTTTTCCCCTCATCTCTGATTAATCATGGAACATATTAGAAAGTAAAATGTCAAGATGGACTAACTGAAAACAATACATCTTTGTGGAGTGGAGCTAAATTGGTCTTTGTCACCGATCATTCATTGTCTATGTGAGCTAGACTTCAAAGTTGTTAGCAAGCATGGGTAATGCCTTCATAATTATGTCTTAGAGGGAAGTTTTGTAGAGAATGAACTAAGAAGGTTTGAACTGTATAAAAGTTATGTGCTTTTGTGATCTTAAGGTCCCTTTTAAAGAAAACAATAGAAAACTTCTAGGTTATAAACTTCAACTCTTAGAAAAGGTGTAACTACAGTGTTTCAAGGAAAAATTATCTGGCTGATGTGTCTAGGGATTAGTCTTTTATTATGTAGACAATTTGAATCACTATATACCTGTCTTAGACCCAAGTTAATTAAGTGTTCAATGAAATTATAATTTTCTTAAATGGTACAATTGATCAAAGCTTAGTATAACTTTGAATAGATTCCTGTTAATCTCCAAAGCTTACCATGAGAGTCTTAGGTTCACCCATTAGAATCTCATCAAGAAAAAGTATGTTTTTTTTTTTTATGCGTTATGCAAGAACACATCCAACTACAGAAGGACGAAAGCTTCCTAAATAACAACCACTAGGATCCAACTTCAGGAAATTAACAAAACAATTTCAAATTATATGTCATCTTATACACAATATGTAAGAAGGAAAAGCTTTTCTATCTTTACAATAAGATTTAAATGGCTGCCTCCAGTATACTAGACACTGAAACCTTGTGGCAACCGATGATTAATATTTGCTCAACCAGGTATTTCAAATTTTTTTTTTTTTTTTTTAAAATATTAGTTTATTTTTTAGGGCACGGTGGTTGGATTGTTCAAGTGGGTCTATATCATTGAAGTATGCTAAAGTTTGATGCTTGCTTCTTAATTTAGTTCAACTTATTTTGCATCATTCAAGTTTGAAAGCTTGATTCAAAAGAGTAAAGAAGGCTGAGATTCTGAGACTTGAATGAAGCAGCAATTGGTTTGGGCTTTAGAAACTGCTTGTTTTTCAGTGGCTGAAAAATTTGAATTATGAATGATCACATTTTGCAATACCATCAAAATTTTAATGAAAACAGTATATCGAGGATGATAAAGGAGGAATGGTTAATTCTATTTATGGAAATCTTATTGAACAGTTATTTCATTAAAAAAAAAAAAAAAATTATATATATATATATTTGTATATGTATGTATAAAACAATCTTAAGTTAAATTCTTCAAATTTTTGCTAAATACTGCACTTAAATGTCCTTTCTCTAGTATTTATATCATTACAAATGACACCATACAACTTTCTCTAGTTAGCTTTTGTAATGGTAGAAGGCTTGCGTCTTGGGAGTGTCAGAAGAGAACATTGCAGTCAGAGTTGGATTGTCACCTAACGTACAAGGTTCTTGCAAATAAGAATGACAACTTGGAGTGCAGTGATACTTATGAGATGAAATGAAAGCAATGGGACTAAATATTGGAGGTGATTTTGTTCCAAACAGAAGAGATGCTAACTTAATGTATATTTTCACATTATAAAATATCGTCACTGATTGCTATATATCACCATTTTCTGGTGTATATTGTTAACAACTAACTGTTCTAAAATCGTGGTTGTTGAAGATGATGTAACTTAAGTATTTATATAGTCCACTCACTCTCACATGTGACCAAGCTCTCCACTGCGAGTGGGATAAACGCATGTATGCATTTTAATAATTATTAGCTGCTTGATGAGATTAAATCCCAAGAATTGGCTGCTCTAATACCATGTTAACAAATCATTTAAAGCTTAAATTCAGTAGTAGACGGTTGTTAACAATGTATCCAAACATGCAAGTGCTAAGCTTGCCACCTCACTGATAATTATATTATGCATGTACTTGTTTGGCCTAATTATGTTAAGGAACACATTGCTATAAATAGGGTTGTTTTTTATATATTCTTAAGGTGTTAGAGAGGGTGCTCAAGTATCTATATACTTTATATGCCCGCATGCGTAGCCAAATGCTCTACCATTTGTGGCCTTGAAGAACACATGATGCATTATAGGGCGAGGCAATGAGATCCAAGCTTAGGTTTTTTCCGCTCTCATACTATATAATAACCAACTCTTGCAAAAGTTTAAGCTACCAATTAACGCTTTACTATGGCAAACAAGTTACTGATTAAAATCTCAACATTTTGCTGATAACTTGGTAATGCACCAATGTGTTTGATCTAACATGGTGTGGAGTTTGGCTAAAAGTGAATGGGCATGTTGAGTATGTAATACTTAAGTTTCGCACTCTTTGATAGCTGAAGTATATATCTTTTCCAACATGCTCCCTTTCTTGTGACTAAACTCCCTACCTTAAGTGGGCAAAAAATGTGAATGCGTCATATAATTATCAGTAAGATGGTGAGGTTCAGGTCTAGGACTTGTTTTCCCTGATACCATGTTAGTAATCGGAATCAACTTTTCTAAAGCATTAAAGCTACCATAGGCAGTTGTTGATAACTTGATATGGTATTGAGTAGGCAAATCTTGCATAAAGGTGGCATGCCTTCAATCACAAGTGCAATATGCTTCTAGATACTTTCACCACAAGTTGTGATCCCAAACATGAAGCTTGTGTTCCATAATCAAATATTCTTTCAAAAGGAAGCTCTAGTCATGAGTGTCACCAAGTGGACTTTGGCAAAGGATAGATCCATATATTCCATTTTGAGCTGCTTCTTCATGTGACTAGATGCAAACATGACTGGAAAATAATATCACAATTAAGACAAGAAACTTGGAGCCTAGGCTTTGGGATTAAACACTGTCGACTTTTTGGCTGTTCATCTAGCTTATTTCACAAATTGGCTTTTGTTTTAAACTCTGTACTCTTTATAAAACTAAGTGGTAGCAGAGATATAATAGCCACGAATTATGGAATGACTTATCATATTAGCAGAGATTTGATAGCCTCAAATCATGAAAGTTTGACTTTATTTATGCTTTATGTCTAGCCATAGAATATGCTATGATTTAATTTAATTTCCTTTCTTGTTATATGAGCATGTGCTCTTTTTATCTATAAATACTAGAGTTGTAAATGAGTGGTTTAATCTCATTCAAACCTTTTACATATTTCTATTCTCTTTCTTCTATATTGTATTTCTTCTCTAACTCAGCTTTAAACTTCAAGAGTGAGGTCCTTGAGAATGGCGCCAAGGTAGTAGTTTTGGCACCAATGTACTCAGTGTACATGCTTGCCTTAAGTAATTGAGCAATCTCGCCCCTCACATGTGGCCAGACTCCCCACCACGACTTTGCTAAACACTTGGATGCTTTAGATTACTATTAATGAAGTGGGGAGATATGAGCCCATGACTTTCTTGCTCTAATACCTCATTAATAACCATCATTATCATCCTTGCCTTATTTCATATGAATGGGTTGGTCACATGAATTCGATTTTTCCATTCTTTTCTACTGCATGCCATTTCTCATATTATATTTAATTTAAAATGATTTCTAATAACTTCATCCGATGTTAGTTTTAGTCTCCTTCCTACCTTCTATGCCAACTAATGTTTCTCTTCTTACTAGTGCATCTATAATTCTCCGTTGTCTATGTCCTTACCACCTAAATCTACTTTCTCTTATTTTTTCACGAATAGGCACCACTCCTAATTTATCCCTCACACTTTGATTAGTAACCCTATCAGCTATCACATCTAGTCTCTCCTATGGTCCTACTATCTATCTTAACATTTTCATTTCAGCTACATGAGTGCATATGTGTTTCTTTCTTAAAGTCCAAATTCTGTTATGCAATACCTTGTTAATAACTTTTTACTTTAAAAAAATTTAAGATGTATTAACACTAGAGAATTCTCAACTGGGATGCCGTGGGGGATTTTCAAGATGTTGGATAAGTGGTTGCAGTTCAGGCTCGTTTAGGTGGTCCCATCTTGAGAATGCCAGGAGGGATGGATTTGTGTAGACTTTACTACAGAACAAGGGATTGATAATTTTGTTGTAATGACACGTGGCAAAAGTAGTGCCTCAACAAACCTCATGATAGGCTTTTTTTGACCCAAGCTTCCAAACCTAGTGATATAAACCATGCAGCTTGGCAGTTCCAATCATGTTGTGAATCTTGTGATTCAATCTGCACTCCTGGCCAGCCGTCCTCCACATAATCGTGGGTCCTATATAAAGGTCAGGTATTCCACAATGATGTTCGAGCATATATATCCAAGTGCATTACCAATTATATATATATGTCAAAGAAGGTTGGAGACCAACCTTCTTTGACATGATTTGACAGTGTGGCTGCTTTGATACTCAAATCTTTGCTGTCAAACTTGTCAGTCCAAGATTTTACTGTGCAATGACCTCGTCTTGAGCATATTCTCCAATTAAGCCATGGGCTGATTGGCTGATATTAGATTTTCTTGCTATCAATACACGCTCATGGGCTGATTCACTACCAATCCTCTAAGTGCTACTCTCTTCTAGGTCACCCCAATTCTAAACCACTTCCAGCCCATATAGATTCCAATTCCCGTGTGTTTCATCTCCTTCGCTCAAGTACCTTTACTGTAAACAAGCTGCACAGAGCATAGAACTTATATATATATATATATATATTTATAAATATATATAAGTTCTATGCTGCACAGAGCATAGAACTTATATATATTTTTATACTTATCAAATACATAATGCCATTTTAGTATGGGAGATTTCCAATATAGACTTTAGAGGGCGATCCTTGGTGCAATAGTAAGGTTGCTCTGTTGTGACCTGGAGGTCACGGGTTCAAAACAAGGAAACAACATCTTTGTATGCGGAGATAAGGCTGTGTACATCTGACCCTCCCCAGACCTCTCAATTTTGGGAGCCTCATGCACTGGTTTGCCTATTTTCAATTTAAAACTTTGGACTGGGCTTTGGTTCTTTCTTGCACGAAAAATGGAGTATGTCTGCAAATAAAGATATATCTAGATCTCATGCACTCTTGTGTGAAAGGAGATGGAGTGATAGTGTGGTACCTTCTTCCAACTTAAGGACTTTCTACATGGACTCCAAATATACAAAACTTTAAGCTTTTGTGTGATAGATTCAGCCATTTGTATCTTTTGTTAGAATCATTATGTGATCCTAGTCAATTCACTCGAACTATCATTGCTATCTTTTGTTAGATTTCCATTTTGTTTCATTTTCATTTGACTTTCCAACATGAGTTGAACATTTTCCGTAATCCTTGGCTTCCTTAGCTTCATATGAAAGAGATGCATCTGAATATAACTTCTGCACTATTCTCTTCAGTACCATTTTCTTAGTGGAAGTTGCATGTCAAAAGAAAGTTTCACCTTTTGATTTTTACCACCCTTTTCTTTGTTGTTTTTCCTTACACAAGCTGCATTTGTCCCCTTTAACATTTGACCTTTTGAATTTTTTTTCTAATTTCTAGGAAGGATCTCCAAACAGTTTCAACAAAAATGATTATCAAAGCAGAGTACAACTTGTAGGCCTTAGTGTTCACTGACATTTAATTATATATGGACAACTAAGAATATTTTAGTAACCAACATTTGCTCTTCTTACCGAACCTTTCTATTTTTGGATCAAATTGATGATTGCGCCTTTGAGCAGGTTCATTTCTTTCTATTTTGTGCTTCAACTCTCTGAAAATTTCTTTTCTATTAATGTTTTTTGAAATTATGCCTGTTATGTAATTGGGCTTATTGATGTTCATGCAGCTGGAAGGTGAGGCAACCGCCCGAGCTATTCGTTTGGCTGGTTTTGTGAACACACCGCTGTATGTTGTTCATGTCATGAGCATTGATGCAATGGAAGAAATTGCTAAAGCTCGAAAATCAGGTTCTCATCTCTTTAAATTTTAGAAATGGTAATTGTTGTAGCAAATTTGTATGATAACAACATTGATGCTCCAAAATGGAGTTTTTATTCATTTATTTTTTGTGCTGTTGTTGTTGCAATATATTTTTCAACTAACCAAGAAAGTCTAATACCAAATACTTTGGCTACATGTATCATTCCAATACCCTGGGTCCAGTTGGGTTGGTCTCAGAACCAGAAAAAGCTGATGGCAACCTCAATTCCCCAAACCCATGAAGATGACCAAAATAGAAAAAAAATAAAAAAATAAAAAACCCCAAACCCATGAACTGATGAATGTCAATCCGAACCCACTTGGTTTCCAATGTTCATCTTATCTACTTATAACTCAATCAAATTGAAAGCCCCTTAAAAATAATATAATATAAATTTAGGAGAATTTTTTTTTTTTTTAAATAAAGAGAACTGGGGTTGTGTTGCCAACAATTGTGGTGATCTTCATGAGAGAGGGAGAGAGATGGCTAGGTCTACCGCTGGGCAGAGGCATAGAGACTGCAAAATTTTGAGAGTTTTTTTGGTTTGGCAGGGAGGGGGATGTGGGGGTGGAGTTTGAAGACCCAAAACTTAGTGGGTGCAACTTTATATATTGGGATTTTTAGTAAATATTTTGTAGGGGCATTATTATAATTTTACTGTACATCATGGTAGCTTTGTAATATTCATTGTCATGAAAACAATGCTCACCATTGTGCTAGAGTGGTATTACATTTCCGCATTATGCTTATATTTAATTAACTACTAGGTAAGCTTGACATTTTTTGTTTCTTTAATTATAGTTTATGCATTTATTTTTGGTTGGGGTGGGGGAGAATACTTCAACTTGTGTCTCCTTTTTCTTTAGATCATAGAAAGAAAACTATTAGGGATATCATGTGGTTTCATGATTTAGGATAGGAACAAACACTTGGTTCTTTTTAATTAGTTATTTATTTATTTTTATTTTTTATCTTTTTCATTCTTCAACTGCAGGGCAGAGGGTTATTGGGGAGCCAGTAGTTTCAGGGCTAGTCCTTGATGATTCCGGGCTTTGGGATCCTGACTTCATCACTGCAGCAAAGCAATAACCTGCTCTCTATCTATTTCTATTTTTTTCTTCTTTCTTTTTCTTAATTCCCCGTCATTTTTAATGCTATGTGAGACAGTATGGTCCTTTTATGTTTCAGATTTGTCATGAGTCCCCCTATTAGGGCATCAGGACATGGGAAGGCCCTTCAGGGTGCACTCTCAGCAGGAGTCCTACAGGTTTGTTCTTTTCATTAGAATAGATGATAAAAATTATGCTATTCCTGAATAAACCACAATTCTGAACATGTTAAGTGGGGCTTAAGTGACACATCAGGGAATTATCTCATTTCTTGGACTCTAGGATTTGTAATGTTTTAATATTAGCTTCAGTGAGGCTGGCAATTTAAGTTAAATGTTTTTCTTACAACATGATATCGATTTCCATAAACAGATTCTCTCCTCTGAATGCAGTTGCTGAATATTTTTTTGCTGGTTAAAAGCTACAGAAATATCTCTTTCTAGTTCAGGATTTTGACTCTTAGTTAACCTTTGAAATTGTAATTCACTACTTTTATTTCCCAATGCTCAATTGTTTACTTACATGGATGCATGATATTTTATACAGCTAGTAGGAACCGATCACTGTACCTTTAATTCCACACAGAAAGCTTTTGGAATTGACGATTTTCGGAAAATACCAAATGGTGTCAATGGTAATCCAGATTTTATTGGTTCAGTATATTTGAATCAGTTGTTTTGACCTGATTCAGTAATTGAAGTTCACTTGAGCTATTCCACTTTCTAATTCTTCTACATCTGGATATTCTGATTATGTATAGGCATTGAGGAGAGGATGCATCTGGTTTGGGATACAATGGTGGTAAGCTTCCATGAAAATGTAGCTTGGCCATTGGAAACTAAATAGTTTTGATTGAAATTATATTCTGAAATAGCTTGTTTGTATTATCTTATCCATTCTTTCAGGAATCGGGTCAAATATCTGTTACTGATTATGTCCGTTTGACAAGCACTGAGAGGTATGCTTTTGCCTTTGAAAATGTTGATGATTTCTAAATGATATGCTTTTGCTTTGAAAAGATTGATAATGTATGACCTCTCTCTCGAATAGCTTACCCAGAAAACCAAATATAATATATAAGATAATGTTTTTTGACAGTTCACTCCTGGTACCAGAGTAATGAAAATGATTGTGAAGTTGACATTTTATGCAGTGCCAGGGTCTTCAATATATATCCAAGGAAAGGAGCAATACTTGTTGGATCAGATGCCGACATAATCATACTCAACCCAAATTCAAGCTTCGATATAAGTGTCAGCTCACACCACTCTAGATCTGACACAAATGTCTTTGAGGGAAGGAAAGGGAAGGTAAGGTCTGCAATCACTATATGGTCCATATGTTGACAGCCAATAAGTAAATTATATGGTTTTGGAAAGAAAAGAAAGAAAGCGTAGCATTTCAATTTATTGCTTTTATTCTTGAAAAGACATAAGTTCATGGAGTTTTGCAAACAAGAGAAAACCATTTGAGCACTTGTGTCGGCTCGATGATTGCCCTGAGTTAGCGCTAAATCACGAGTTGATATATGAGTAAACCATTCAAGCTGCCACTTATTATCCTGTTGTTGATTGTTCTTTAGGGCTCCGTTTGTTTCAACGTAAAATATTTTTTTTGGAAATTTCTTTTTTATTTTTTTCAGTTAAAATATTCTTTTCTTTTTACTTTGTCGGTATTTGGCAAAGGTCTACGTTGAGGTTGAGGTCGAATCCATCTGGCACGGCATGTAAAATAACTTGCCGAAAATTGATGGATAAGTTATTTTTGCTAAATTTTAATATTTTTTTTTCTTTGTAAATATTTTATAAATACCAAACACCAAAAAATAAAAAAAATATTTTTTGAAAAATATTTTACGTCCAAACAAATGGAGTCTAGATATTTTCCCCGTCAACATTGTCGTGTTATAGTTGAATAAATTTAGGGATTTCATTGATACAACTTTTTCATTTTGGATAAATTTAGAGATTTCATTGATACGACTTTTTCATTTTGGTTTATCCAAAAGATCAGTGGAACTGTTCCTTGAGTTGCACAAATATGATATTTGCTTGGGCAACACCGTTTTATCATTAGAACTGTCACAGTTTTCCATGAAACACTGTAACTACATATATTGTGATTCCGAAATTCTTGTGATACTTGATGATACTATACAGAACTTAAGTGTAAGTTTTTTTTTCTCTCTTTTTTTTTTACCTTTCCTATTTAAATTCCTTAGATGCCTGTCCCTGTTTTCCCTAAAGAACATTCTTCTAGTTTGAAATCTCTAGATCTGCTTTATGCTAACTTTCGAAAAAAAATATCTATTTTCTCAGGGAAAGGTTGAAGTAACAATTGCTGGAGGAAGGATTGTTTGGAAAAATGGTGAACTCAAGGTTGCTCCCGGTTCTGGAAAGTACATAGAAATGCCACCTTTCAGTTATCTTTTCAATGGAATTGATAAAGCGGATGCAAATTACCTCTCGTCCCTCCAAGCTCCAGTAAAACGATCCAGTGCCACAACTTGAGTTGCAGGTTTTATTAATTATACTAACATTTTATTTTTCTTTGCACTTTCTGTTATTACATAGAATAAATAAAGACGATGATCGTGTTTTATATAGTTTCTAGCTTGAATAAGCAAAAGGAAATCTAGATTTCTGTGGATGTATCCAACCGTGTAAAGTTGTATAGAATTATGTAATTCCAGGGTAATAAAACTTTTATATTGCTGATATAACTTTGAAGTTTGAGCACAAAAAATAAATGCAAGACACATTCGGAATTTTTTTTAGTGTAGAACAATATTATACATAGCTCGACGTTTGCAGACCTTTCGATTAGGTCTCTAATGACAAATTAACTTGTCTCACTTAAATATACCATCAAAGAAAACAAGATCCAGTCTAATATCCATTCAAATGAATAGTAATTCGAAGAACGGACTTATTTCGAGTATCAAGGCTTAATACAACAATTTAGGTAGGTCAGAATCTTCTTTTTCTTCTGCACAAGAAATAATTTTCGAAGATTAGAAAGAAGCATGCACTCTAGTTATAATCTGCTGGTTTGTCTGTCCAAAAATGCATACTCGGACATGTTATGATCCACGTGCGTTGATAAGGGGATTTGGATCAAAACATGTCTCGAGTATGAGTTGAGACAATGAATTTTTTTATTTTTTATTTTTTAGATGAATATTGAATGTATATTATTGATTGAAAAATGCATTATATACAATGACTGATGATGATATGTAGAGAAATTAGCAGAATATGGATTCTTACCATCACAGAATCATCCTCCTGCTGGTGTTGCTTGGCAAGAAACTCATGTTCATTTCCAATGCTGTGGCGGTTGCGTCTGTTGGCACGAGCTCGTGAAAACACCACGGAGTAATCGGTTTTCGCTCCCGCGGCCTTGTGATCCCACCCTCCAAATTGAGGTACGGACATCATGCCATTTTTCTGGAAATGTGGATTATAAGTGGTTAGTAAATATTCATCTTAAATGCTATTAAATCTGGTAACATGCTATGATCATCAGATGCATTGTGTTCTGTATGTGTTATGAGAAAATTTTGAATTTCATATGAATAAATAGCTTCATGCTATGTTTGGCTGCACTGAATCCGCGCATTGAATTTGGAATTGGAGAAAATTTAGCACAAAATTTGAACTAAACTTTCTCCAATTCTAAATTTACGGCACTGTTTGGATGCCCTTAACATAAGTGAAATACTCAAGCTTGCATTGGTCAATATCCCCTTAGTCAACGCACATTGACCAATAGGATTGAGTATTTTTTTAGCAATAATGTTAATTAAAAAAATTCAGAATTAGTCACTGATCAAAATCAGTAAATTGTAATGATGATCTCAAATAAGAAACCTGCAAACAACAAACAATTTATTAGGTTAAAGCTGCCGCTATGCACATGAATGTTAAAATGATAATGTATTTAATAGAATGTCACCCTAATTTAATACGGAGAAAAAAGTTTTAAGGGTAAAATGCCAAAAAAAAAAAAAAAAAAAACTCTGCAATATAAAAAACGTGCAATAAATACTTTCGCTATTTAGCATGTGCAAAAAATTAAAATTGGAAAGCTCAATTAAACAATGAATTTAGTGAAAAAAATAATCTGTGTAACTGTGACAAAAAATCCAAGATCAATAATAACTTGCAATTGCTTCCATATGATCTACTTTTACAAAATAAAATAAACACGAGGAAACTAAAAAGAAACTTAGCAATAAAATAAAATAAGTGATGAGCATAAGAGAGTGAAATAGTTTTGCGAGATACTAAATTTCATCGACAAGAAAACTATTTGAATGCAATATCACAAACGGTACTGCACCATTTTTATTTTTTTTTAAAATTGACGTCTTCTTGTATATATTTATCTCGTATCAAAATACTCATAGAATTGGCAATAATGAAAAATAGAACTGTGTCAAGTAAATAAATTTTGCTTACCACCTAAGATTTGTAGACCCTGTTTCATAATCCTACTTGTGTTTTACTGTTTTGTCCGTAAAATATTTGCTCTCATTTTAGACATTGGAAGGGCGAAAAAAAATATATATATAAATAAATAAATTACTTAAGAAATCTGCAATTCCTATTAAATTCATTGAGAAAACAATATAAGCATATAGAAAATAACTAGAACATTTATATATATGAGAAAAGAAATAGATATAAAATATTGTATTTCACTATTGAATTTGCCTAGACTTACCTCCTTCCGGTATTCCTTGGTGGATTGAGAGAGGAGAGAAGAGGGGGTAGGTGAAATAGTTTGAATTGTGTGGACTGTGATTATGATTTCCCTCTCATTTTATACCACAATTATTTCAGGAGATTCTAACATTACTTCGCCAAATGGAAGGTGGCTATGACATATTTTCTGTTACAAATTCTTGGTAAAAACGAGAGAGAAAAAGAGATGGTAAGAAAAAAAATGTGTGCCCAAATTCGACGGTATTGAGTGAAAGGCGTTGCTCAACGAATAAAAGTTATTTTAGAATAATCAACTAATTGTGTTTGAAAAAAAAAAAAAAAAAAGGAGAGAAATTTCAAATTTAGTTTCACGACCGAATTTTGAAGTGTAGTTTGCTATATGGTTTGGGATCCTTGGTCTATATTTTAAGTGGATCAGTATAATGATATATAATATAAGCACACATTTGTTAATTGGGTGAAATATATATATATATATATATATATATATATATATAAGTTATTTTAGAATAATCAACTAATTGTGTTTGAAAAAAAAAAAAAAAAAAAAGGAGAGAAATTTCAAATTTAGTTTCACGACCGAATTTTGAAGTGTAGTTTGCTATATGGTTTGGGATCCTTGGTCTATATTTTAAGTGGATCAGTATAATGATATATAATATAAGCACACATTTGTTAATTGGGTGAAATATATATATATATATATATATATATATATATATATATATATATATATGTTAATTGGTATAATTGATACGAAACATGCATGTAAAATATTTTTTTATGTAACACTTTTTCATGCTGAATTTTTTTTTTTTTTTTTTTATTCTTCGGTGTTTGGCAAAGATTTTGAAAATATTTTTCAAAAAATATTTTTGGTGTCTAGCTTCTAAAATTATTTTTTAAATTAAAATTTTAATTCTTATTTGAGTGATTGATTATTCAATTTTTCTCTTTCTATCAATTATTCAATTTTTATACCAATAATAATAATTATTTGACAAGAAATATAAAAAAATAATCAATTGATTTTTGAAAAAATGATAAGGAAATCAAAACATGTCTCTCTATCATCGAATGCAACAAGTGAATCTTGTTTCTTTTTCTTTTTTTTCTCCACTTTACGTATCAGTTTTTAAGGTTTTAGAAAGTAATACTACCAATTAATCACTAAGCCAGTAATGATGAAAAAATATATATAATAATAAAAACAAATTGAAGAAACCAAAAATAGGAAATTGTATGATTGTTGTTAAAGAAGATATTGGCCTCGTGCCTCTCGCCCCACAATAGGTGTTGGGCTTATGGCCCTTCTCTTAACAGATGTTTTGTTTCTGGTCACTATAGCACATGTAAAAGAGTTCCCCTTTTTTTCTCTCTAAAAACTCGCTTTATTAAATGACTCATTTCTTTACCTCTATGAACTATTTTTTGTCCACTATGTCACTCTTTTTTGTTTTTTTTTTTTTTTTTTTTTCATAAATGGTGTTGTATTAAAAAAGAAAAAATAAGTCACAGGCGCACAGAGGGCATACCTTCAGAGAGCTTAAAACAAATACCAAATGGTAAAGAACAGGCCCCATTTCCAATACAGCCCCCAAAGAGGGAAAAAGAAAAATTACAAGAGGGCATCATTAAGAGTAGCATTCTGAACATCCAAAACTTCCAAGAGAGTATGTCTAGCCACTATTTGTGGGGCAGAACCAGCAGCATCATAGAGTGTAACATTCCTCCCTCTCCAAATTACCCACAAAACATCAACAAAGCGGCTCCTTAAAGATTTGGAATCATGTTAGAGCTGATTACACCAGTTAAACAGATCCCATATTGTTGTGACAACAACAAACTAAAGCAAATCCCAATTAAGAACATCCCCCAGCCAACTCCAAACAGCCTTAGCAAATGAACATGAAACAAAAACATGGTCCTCTGACATATTGAACACCTAGGAGCCAGCTGGATCTTCCTTCTCTGAAGATTTACCATAGAAGGCAATATGTCCATCAAAACAAACACAGCTGTGGTTGACCATCTTGGCCTTGCTCTGCCCCAACACAAATGAAACCATGGTACAATTGGATTTCTTCAAACCAGAAGGACAAAGAGGAAGGCCAAGGTACTTAATTGGAAGAACATTTTCAATGCACTGCAACACTTGAAGAATAATACTTTTCCTTCTCACAGCTCTGGAGAACAACGCTCTACGCTTCTGATAACTAACTTGAAGCCCATTATGTTGTTCAAACCGATTGAAAATTGTAGCTACAGTATTGGCATTTTGAATAGAAGCTTTGCAGGCCACCATGAGATCATCTGCAAAAAAATATGTGAGACAAGGGAGAATGTAATGTATAAACAGTATGCAATAGAGTGAGATCCTTCCTCTGCACTGCCTCATTGAGAAGCTTTGAAAAATATTCAGTCATCAAGGTGAAAAGAAGTGGAGACAGAGGGCATTCTTGCCTCAACCCTCCACCATGTTGTATAAAACCAGTTGGAGTTCCATTAATTAACAAGGAGTACCTTGTTGACTGCAGGATAGTAGAAATCCAAGCTATCCATATACCACTAAATCCATACTCCTTTAAATCATATGCCTTTTTAATATCTACCTTCATGGCCATGGAAGGATGTCTAATGCTGTTGAAATCTCTAATCATTTCATTTTACATAATGAGAGCATCATGAATTCTCTTCCTTTGACAAAAGCACATTGTTCACTACCCATCAGTTTGTGAACCACTCCAGCCACTGTGTAACTCTTCCATGTACTTGATTGAAGTTTTCGATGCCATATGTTTTTGTTGAGAAGATCGAGAGTAAAATTGATAGGCTCGAAAAATGACTTTCGGAAGATTAATTGGTAAGTTATTTTGGTTAAATTTTGGGATTTTATTTTCCTTCGTAAAAGATTTTCTTTGGATTTGGGACTACCAAACACCGGAAGAAAATATAGAAAATATTTACGCTCAAACAATCCGAGCCTAAATGTCAAATTAATTTTATTGTTTTTGGCAAACTTGGATAAATAAATTTTAAAAAGGAGCAAAGTAGCTACTCCAGCACCTTCCAATAAATTTTTTTTAAAAAAAAAAAGAAAAGAAAAGAATTTACTCGAAGTATTGGATTCAAAGATTGGTATAGAACTCAAATGGTCCACTTGCAGTGTCATATCTCACATGCACGGATAATTATCTGGAAAATCCCTTAGCTTAAAAAAATTTGAACTTCTGAATTTCAAGACATGAGTTTAGAGTCTTTGTTGGTAAACTATTCCCTTCAGGTTTTCTTTTCTTTTTATTAATGTTTAAAAAAAAAAAAAAAACATATTTCCCAATATGATAATCAGGTTAAATAATTTGTTTTCTTAACTCATCTCTTTCGTAATGGAACTTGTATTTCTAAAGGAGTAATTGATACGGACAATAATGGTAGATTGAATTAATATATTATTCACATTGTCAATGGTCAATCACTCCACAAAAATAAAAATGAAAAAGAAAATTAAAGAATTTGAACTGTACGTTCTTGATTTCAAAATTTAATAATATGATCTAAAACGACTCACTAGCATTTTTCACACCAATTAAAATTACTTGTCTTCCATTAAATTTTTTTTAAAAAATAAAAAGTTGGATTTAGGTTATGTTTGTTTTGACGTTTTGTCATGTCAAATATTTTTGTATTTTTACTTTTTTGAGATTTTGGCAATGGTTTACGTTGGGGTTGAGGTTGAGATTGAGTACATGGGTGGGACATCCAAAATAACTTGTCCAAAATTAATGGATAAATTATTTTTGTTAAATTTGAATTTTTTTTCTTTGTAAATATTTTACGGCAACCAAACACCAAAAAATATATTTTACACCTAAATAAACAGAGCCAAAATAGTTTAAAAAAAAAAAAAAAAAAAGGCTCAAACTCGATGAAAACTCATAATTTTTGAGCCAAAATAAAATATTAAAAACAAAAATATTTTTCATTAATACCATAAAAAAAAAAAAAATTTGGTAATTTAAACACCAAAAAAATATATATATTTTTTGAAAAATATTTTACATCCAAACAAACGAAGTCAAAATAGTAAAAAAAAAAAGCTCAAACTCTATGAAAACTCATAATTTTTGAGCCAAAATAAAATTTTAAAAACAAAAAGATTTTTCATTAATACCATAGTTTTTTTTTTTTTGGTAATTTAAACTTGTTGAATTAGTCAAAAAATAATAATAGTAATAATAATAAAAATGAAAATGAAATAAAAATATAAAAAAACTACTCAAAATACTACTCAACTTAGGAGTGGTTTAAACCCGCCCCCTGCGGACTTGATGATCAGAGAAATGACAATTTTACCCTCCACCGTAAAACAAATATCTTCCCTCTATCTCTCATCAGACGAAACTCAAAACCCCAAACCCTAACCTTCATTCATCGGAAAAAAATCCCCAAATCCCCAAATTTTCTCTCTTTTTCCTTCCATCCAAACATGGCGACGATCAGCCTGAGAAAGGCTAACACACGGCTCCCACCGGAAGTGAACCGCGTTCTGTACGTTCGAAACCTCCCCTTCAACATATCCAGCGAAGAGATGTACGATATCTTCGGCAAGTACGGCGCGATTCGGCAGATTCGCATCGGCACCAACAAGGACACCAGAGGGACGGCGTTCGTGGTCTACGAGGACATCTACGACGCCAAGACCGCCGTCGACCACCTCTCCGGCTTCAACGTCGCCAACCGCTACCTCATTGTGCTCTACTACCAGCAGGCCAAGATGAGCAAGAAGTTCGATCAGAAGAAGAAGGAAGAGGAGATCACCAAGTTGCAAGAGAAGTACGGTGTGTCCACCAAAGATAAGTCATAGAACATTTGAAGCCATCGAATTTGCAATTTGGGTCTTTTCTCTTTTCTGTGAAGTTTGTGTTTTTTGAGAATTGATAAATGCAGACAACGATTTATTGGGTTATCTATGAAATGGGTACAGTTGGTATACGAATTTATGTGTGTGAATTTGTAGTTTCAGGCTTTCAGCTTCTGTGTGTGATAATATATATATATATGCACATTATTACTAGCTTTACTGTTTGTACATGTCTATTTTGTGGGTATGCGTCTCTAATTATTTAGTAGAATTATTTATGGCTAACTTGGTCTTCTAATTAGGATCAAGTAGGCATGCCTGAGAATTGATTAGGCTCTTTCTCACTTTGGTGTGCGTATCCATTCAGATGACGGAGTATCTGATATTCTGATGGGACGGGTATAAATTGTATAATGAAAATAAAATACAAAATATACAAGTTGTGATAGCTAATAGATACTTTGAAGAAGTGGTTACGGAATTATGCTGGGCATCATTAGCCGTGGTTTTTATATCAGAATTGGGTTGAATATTGAAAAAGATATCTTATGGTACCAAATAAGCTGATTTTCTCAAAATTTGTATGTCATTGCACTTCGAATTAATTACTTATTAAAAAAAACAATTGAATTACTTGGTGTTGCTTGGGACGGGTATACATTGTATAATGAAAATAAAATTCAAAATATACAAGTTGTGATAGCTAATAGATACTTTGAAGAAGTGGTTACGGAAGGTTTATGCTGGGCATCATTAGCCCTGGTTTTTAGATCAGAATTGGGTTGAATATTGAAAAAGATATCTTATGGTACCAAATAAGCTGACTTTCTCAAAATAATACATGAAGGCCCAATCCCAAAATAATAGATGTCTTTGGCCTGCTTACCGCTCCGATAAACTCTTATGTAAAGGCCTGATAGATTAGATTTTCCACAAAATTCGGTTTGATTCATGATCAACTTCCAAATATTAGTATATAAACCCCAGGTAGGTGCAGTAATCCCGTGAGAGTCAAGTAAAGATAATTCTGGACCTATCGTATGTGAAACATCACCTGTAGTTATTTTCAAAGTATAGTCAATATTGAATTTAGCGGACAAGAGCCATCAAATTTTGTATGTCATTGCTCTTTAAATATTGTTTGTTTTTGAAGTTGTGTGATTGTGGTGAGGATTTGTATGGTAGTATCAATTGAATTAATTACTTATTAAAAAAAACTATTGAATTACTTGGTGTTGCTTGGGTTTCATAGTTTTTTAGATTTGTTTAATTTTGATGCTGGTAGTTTGTGAACTTAGTATGGATATATTGAATATTGATGGATAGCCCATAGTCAACAATACTCAGGAGTGACAGTTTCTAATGAATCAGTTGATATTGTTTGTGTTTGAGATCTTTGGATTTGACAGTTTATTGGAGAAAAAGATTCCTAGAGTTTGATACAATTTGGTGTGGTGTGATATCTGAAGATTGTGTGGTTGAATATGTTTGATGGATTCAATACTGCTGAGCCTTGACTATCTAGTGTTTCTTAGAGTTTGTGTTACATATAACTAGGGAATTTGGAAGTTTCTACTTTGAAATGGTCTAGCGCTCTAGATTTCATAGATGCAGAGGAGATATAGAGTTTCTATGAATGTACATACAAATTTACGATGAACTAGAAATAATTTGTAGCCTTTTTTAGTCCCAGAAAGGACATCATTCATGTGTGTGCTTTTTGTATTTTTTTTTTTTTTTTTTCATAAATGGGTTTTTGTATAGAAATAAAAATATATATATATACAGAGGCACAGAGGGCATTCCCTCAGATTAATGGAAAAACAATGAAAAATAGGGACAAAACCCCTATCTCAAACATAGCAAAAGAATGACTAAGATGCAACAAAGTCATTTAGCTTAATAGTGTGGATATCTAGAACTTCCAACAGCAGACCCCTAGCTACTGAAATTGGTTCAGTATTTGATCCATACAGCCTTGCATTCCTCTCATGCCAAATACCCCAAATAGCCGCAGCAAACAAGCATTTGAGTGGACCAGTAGTATACAAATTCTTAAACCAATTAACCAATTCTCCTAAAGAAGATATTTCAATAAACTTCAGCATGTCCCAATGAAGCACCTCCCCAAACCAATTCCAAAAAACCTGATTAAATGAACACTCCACAAACAAATGTAAAGTAGAGTCAGCATTTCTTTGACAGAGAGAGCATTGAGCTGCTAACACAACAGCCCTTCTTTGAAGATTCACCATGGAAGGAACTCGGTTAAGCATAACAAAAACAGTAGTAACAGACCATCTAGGTCTAGCTCTACCCCAACACATAGAAGCCCAGTTGACCTCTTCAACTTCAGACCTACAAAGAATCCAAGCTTTTTTAAAGGAAAACCTTCCTCCATCCCATAGCGTTCTATCTGCAGTACTGTATTTGGTGGGCACCAAACTCAGAATTTCTTTAAATTGTTGTAATGCAGGATCCTGAAACAGATTTAAATCCCAGCTGCCATTATTCATAAGACAGTCAGTGTATCATTTCTGGACAGACGTAAATACCTCAATAATCTATGTCCAAATCTCTGTGTAACTGTCATCCCTTCACACCATGGGTCTTTCAGAGTAAAAATCTTCCCATTACCAACACTGAAGCTGATGTTAAGCAACATAATATCTCTGACCTCCACCAAGGCTTTCCAAATAACTGATTTAGTCACTCTTGGAATGACAGTCCAATTGTCAACATTAAGAGTATATTTAAGCTTATACCACGAAACCCACAGCCTATCCTTACTTGTAAGGAAATCCCAAACTAAAACCAGCTTAAAGGCACTCCGAATATCCACCAATTTTCTCAATCCCAGCCCCCCTTCAGCCTTACTTCTAGTAATCATATCCCAGCTAAGTAAATGCATCTTTTTTGCATGTTCAGTACTGCCCCAAACAAAATTCCTACATAACCTTTGCAATTGATTAATCACAGCCATAGGAATGTTGTAAATGCTGAACCAGTAGAGGAAGATAGGAGTGACAGTAGGCCTGATCAATTCAACCTTACCTGCTACTGATAACATCTTTGTACTCCAACACTGTATTCTGCTAGAGACCCTATCTATAAGTCCCTCACAGTGATTTCTCTTAATGCCATACGGACACAATGGCAATCCCAAATATTTGATAGGAAGTTGAGCCTCTGAACATTGTAAAACATTCAACAACTGCTATCTTCTTCTCACTGCTCTAGAAAAAACAACATTACTTTTCTGTTGGCTGACTTGCAGCCCTGTAGATTCCTCAAATTGTTTAAATAAGCCTGATAGCAGTCTAGCATTAGATATAGAAGCCTTACAAGCCAACAACAAATCATCAGCAAAGAAAATATGGCTCAAAGAAGAGTGAATTTTTGCAGCTGTATGTGTTAATTTAAGTTCCCCTCTCTGGACAGCCATATTAATAGTATTAGAAAGGTGTTCAGTAACTAGAGTAAACAACAAAGGTGATAAAGGACCCCCTTGTCTTAACCCCCTACCTGGTTGAATAAAACCATTAGGAGAGCCATTAATCAAAATGGAATATCTAGTAGAATTCAGAATAGCAGACACCCAATTGATCCAAACTTCACTAAAACCATAACCTTTCATAGCCCTCAACAAAAAGCTCCAAGACACTGAATCATAAGCCTTCTTAATGTCCACCTTCAATGCCATAGAAGCATGCCTAGGTCCATTAAAGTCTCGAACCAATTCATGTGCCAGAATAAGATAGTCTGGAATTCTTCTCCCCTTCACAAAAGCACTCTGCTCAGGTCCAACCAAAGATGTCAACACAACAGCCAATCTATTAGCCATAATCTTGGTAATAATTTTATAAATCAAATTACACAAAGCTATAGGCCTAAATTCTCCCAGTTTCTTTGCATTGCCCACCTTAGGAATAAGAGTCAGAAAGCAACTACTCACTCCCTTTGGCATAACACTGGTGTGGAAAAAATGTTGCACTACTTCTATAACCTCCTTGCCTACAATAGGCCAAAACTTCTGATAGAACCTAGCTGGAAACCCATCTGGCCATGGAGATTTGTCAGGATGAAACCCCATAACAACCTCCTTTATCTCCTCCTCACTCACAGTTCTATAAATAGCTGATACCTCTTCAGGCTTCAAAGAAAATCTAGGCTCAACAGCTGACTGAGAGGATTCAGGACTTCTAGAAAACAGTTGCTGATAATACTCCACAAACCAAGATCTAATCATCCCCAAATCAGTTGTAGTCTGTCCGTTATCATTCTCCACAGCTGTAATTGCATTGAAGTTCCTATGTTGCTTCAACTTACTATAGAAGTACCCAGTACATCTATCATTATCTTTCAGCCAAAGAACCCGAGATTTCTGGGCTACAAGAATTTCTTGGTCACTGACAGCAGAGTGATAAGCCATTCTAGCTTCTTGTTCTAGTTGGAAGGTTGAATCACAAGTATCATTCAGTAATTGCAGCTGGAGTTGTTCCAGATGTTCCTTAGTTTTAAGCACTTTCTCACCAACATTGCCAAAACAATTCTTATATCAATCCTTAATGATCAACTTGACATTTCTAAGTTTTTTTCAAGAGAATATGTATTGGATTCCCTGAAACCTCAGTGTCCCAAGCTTTCTGAACCATAGGAGTCATACAATCCTGCATACACCACAGCTTTAAGCATTTTCAAAGGTTTGGGGCCTGCAGCAAATTCGTTGGAGATATGAATAGCAATTCCATAATGGTCAGAGCACGAAGCAGCAGTATACAAAGCTTTAGTACCAGGCAGCTTGTCCAACCAACTCTCATTGAGAAACACTATCAAGTATTACATAAATCCTTCTAGTAGGCTGTTGTCTATTGCACCAAGACCATTCCCCATTAGAAGGATGAAGTTCATTCAAACCTGCTTTGAACAGACAATCAATAAATTCATTAAGAATTCTCTGAGGAACAGTCTTGCCCCCCTTTTTGTCTGCAAAAAACCTAATAGCATTCCAATCTCCCATAGCCATCCAAGGTCCGGAAACTATAGTAGAATACTGTACAAGAGATTCCCATAGTTGTTTTCTATCAGTAGATAAATTTGAAGCATAAACCGGGGTACAGAAGAACTCTTCTCCAGTCTCCAACACTCTCACCTTAATTAAAACACACTGAGTTTTAACATCAAGAACAGTAACAGAGAAAACCAATGGATTCCATCCCATCCAGATTCTACCATGTTCATGAGCATTATAGTTATTCATCCAGTCCCAATTATTTCTGATATTTCTAGAAATTCTATCAAAACTAGCTTTCTTCACCTTTGTTTCCACAAGACAGACAAACTGAGAGGCTTCCTTAGATATCCAGTTTTTAACCCCTTTTTGTCTCTTGGGCTTATTCAAGCCCCTAACATTCTAGAAACCTATCATTTAGAAATCGAGGAAGGGTTAACAACCCCTACTTGACTCCTTGTTACCCTAACAGATTTCTCAACCTCCATTCTATGTCCTTGTTTTGGCTGATTAGGTGTGGACTGTTGAATTTTACTTGCACTCTCAACCAAACCCTCTACAGCCTTATGGGAACTCAAATCAAGGCACATTATGGCCAGGTGCTTCTATAGAACCTTCTTGATCTCTCATATCAGAACCAGCAGCTTCATCACTCCCTTCAGTCAAAGAGAGAGATGGATTTTCATCCAAGGTAAGATCTTCTATTTTGTCTAAACTCAAGTCAAGACACATTGGTTGAAGTTGTAACCACCGTATCACTGGGTGATTCCACCTCTGAAACCACAACAGTATCCAAAATAACAGCTTGTACAATCTCCCCCTCCTTCACATTAGTGTCCACACCCATAAGCTCCTCTACAGCTTCTTCATCTGTCTGTTCTAATAAAGCAAAGGAATTATGAGTATTCACAGTGGGCTTAGGAACCGGCTTCACAGTCAAATCAACAGACACTTGGTGTACCTCAGTACTGGCTACTAGCTTCCCCTTACTTTTAACCACCCAACGATGAACCACCTGTTTCTTAGGTTCATTCAAAACCTTCTTGGGACACCTATCCACAGCATGATCAACTCGCTTATATAAAGTACACACTATAGGTTTCCATTCATACTCAATGCACACAGTGCAATCCTCACCATGTATATCCACCACTAAGATTTCTGGTAACTCCTTCCTAACATCGGCCTCAACCATAACCCTTACAAATTGGCCCTTATCCCGGTGTAAAGAAGGATCATCCATGTATATTGGTTTGGAGAATAAAGAGCAAACTTTAGATAAGGAGGTAGAGTTTCGACAATGAACAGGAAGGTCATGGACACGAATCCATATTGGTAGCGAATCAAGCTCCTCCCTTTCAAGGACCACATTTTTACTCCATTGTTTAATAATAATCACTCGAAAATGAACCATGAAGAAACCTTTCTTCAAATATACCAATGTAACATCCTTGGCCCAATGTTTCTCAATAAATCCTTTGACATGTGGATAATACGGCCTTTTACCCATCATATACCCAACCACCGAGTATTTCCAGGAATCAATCTCCTCTGCAACATCTTCCTCAGTGATAGAGACCTTCGAACCAACCGGGCTGCTAATAAACTTTAGGTTAATAAATGAATTATTCGTATCTCCCCCTTCGAAACTACTTCTCCATGAAGAACAAGGGGGTATTGTTGAGTTTTGTGGCCGGACAATAGTCTGCCGGCGGCTTCGGGGAGGAGGAAGACCCCTCCATGTTATTCCCCCTTCACCACCCAGTCAAATGCATGCAGAAAGACCTAACCCTAAATCGCCAAAAATATCGCCAAAAATCGTAGAGAGAAAAGGGGTATTTTTGGTAATCTGTATGTAGATAATGCATTGGTCGTGTGTGCTTTTTGTTGTCTAGTTTTTGTAAATCTTCTATTTGAATTGACAAGATCACTCATACATGACGGTCACTTGTTCTTTCATCAGACCCGAGTGTTTATCCGATGTGTGATTGGAAGTACATGAAAATATGGTGTTTTCACCAGAACAAGTAGAAACGTATAATAAATAAATAGAAAATTCTGAATATTTTGTTTTGAAGTATGAAGCAAAGTGAAAATTTGAGGTTATGAACTTTTGTGGTTGGGTTGGACTAGGTGTCATACTTGTCATTAGTGGAAGGGGTGGACTGGATGCACCTGTGTTTCACAAGTTAAGTTGAACTGAATAATGGAAAATTTTGACAATACTACTTTTTTTGGAACTTTTTCAGTTGTATTTGGTGCAATTTTCAGAAATGAATTCTCCAAAACTTGTTTTCTGAAAATAGTGAAATTTTCAGTACATTTTGGAGTTATTTTAGTAATTATGACAATAATATAAAAAACAAAGAGTGAAAAAATCATTTTAGTGTGCCAGAAAACTAGTCTTTTTAAAGTCAATTTCTCTAACATTCTCAATCTGCATTTATTTATTTATTTTTAACATGAATGCTCTCCTTCCCGCTCCTAGTGGCTTACCCCTTTACTTCTGTGTCGCAACTGCTTGAAAGGAAAACATGTCATTTACAACATTTTTGTCCTGGGATTGCTTGTGGGAAACTTAGAAGAATGGTTTCTTGTCTCAGCTCACCAGAGATGTATTCTTACTTTTAAGAGTAGATATTCTCAGTAATTTGCCTAACCGAATAGTTTTTGATTGGTTATTTATGCTAAATACAAGTAAGTGAATGACCTCACTCCCTTATATGTTGCATAAATGAACAATAAAAAGTAGCAATGCACGCAACTATTCGGTGCAAAAATCATTTTCTTACTTTTAATACTTCCAATTACAAACAGGATAAAATGGGAATGCTAAAAACTTTGATCTTTCAATTTATTAGCTAAATTATTGGTGCTATTGGGATATTATTGTGTTTGAAAGCATGGAATCATTCTTGGAAATAAAATTGAAGAGTGAAGAACAAAAAGTTGTAGTCTAGTGGTATTTTTTCTACTTTTCTAATGTGGGAGTTCAGGGTTCGTGTTTCCACATTGACGAATGGACCTGTGAGTTACTTGCCAATGAAAAAAATAATAAAAAATTGAAATTTAAGAAAAAATGGATTAAATTTTTAACTAATAGTATTATTTTTAATTCCAATACACCAATTACATGTTATGATTAGCAAAATTTATATTGCTTGGAGATTTTGTAAGGTTGCTTCAAGTAGGGATGGTGGTTTTTGTGGTTAATAAGCACGTTGTTGGTGTGTGTCACAATTCACAAATATTGTTGGTATGTCTCTTGTTCTTATTTATTTATTATTTATTAAAAAAAAAAATTTCACACCTGTGTTAAAGTTATGGATGAAGTGTCGCACTTGAGTAGAACCGGTTCTTGCTTCAACATAATAAGACACTGAAGCAAACTTAGCAGAGTGATAAATACGTCTCAAGGGCCTGTGCCTGTAAAGAAAAGCAAATGCGGTTCAATTTTGCTTCATTGTTAGAATATGAAGTTTGAAAAATTATGTCTAGTTACCCTTGTAGTTTGAAGCAAATCATTTCTTCCCATCTAAGGTTACCACAAAAAAAAAAAAAAAAAAAAAAAAAAAAAAAGAAAAATTAAAATAAAAAATGGTAACAAATAACCAAACACCCAGTGTTCTGATATTGGTTATAATCTAGAAAACACGAATATTTTTTGGAAAGTCACGTGAGGAGTATACTCACGAATGTATTTATAATTTTAAAATATATTTTTTAATTTCTAGCATGTATCCGATACTTCGACTATGTATTTAATACTTTTTAGATTACTTTATAACACTTTTTAAACAAGTTTTGAATATTAAAATGTAACTTTTTCAATAAAATTATTAAGAAAAGTTTAAAATTTAGTGAGTGATGACTAGAGATGCTTATTTTTTGTATTATGAAATGAATTCTTATGTTATAATAATAATTGCATTTAGATTCATAATATATTTCAGAAAATTGATTAAAAACGTATTTATAATTATTATCTTTTGTTGTAAAAGTATAGTATTTTTTTTTTTTTTTTCAGATTTACCATATTGTCGTGCCTGTATCGTATCTGCACCCATATTCGTATATGTGCTTCCTAATGTTGCAAACCTATGCCTTGTATTTGAAATTGAAGGAAGTTTAATCTAAAATTTAACTAACTTTTTTTCAATTCTAATTCCAAACTGTGCTCTCCACCAAAATTAAACAAACATTTCTTTTTTTCTCTCCACCTTCTTTCCACTGGTTAACGCTACTATCTTTTAACTTTCCCTCCTTGTTATCAAACAAGAAGTGAAAAGGCAATGAAAAGATGAGAGAGATGTGAATGATAAAAGGACAATTTGAATGTTCTAAAATTCCAACTAAAATTTTATAACTGACTGTAATACCATTGAGCACAATAAATACCAAATACTAATTTAGTTAGTTAAATATTTATATTTAGAAAAAGAAAAAGAAAAAGAAAAAAAAGGAAAAAGGAAAAAAAAAAAGACAGCAACTCTTCCAGAATGATACAAGCTGGAGAGGGAAGAAGACTCAGCAATTGTACAACAAAGGGAATATCACTGAACAGGAATGGGTCCCAACTCCCAACAACTATGCTGTTACTGATGAACACCAGGGTCACCTATTTTGGATTAGAAACAAGCTCAGGCAGATTTCTGAATCATATGCACAATTTCAGCAGGATGCACCATATTCTCAACAACTCTTCACCTCATTCCCGGGGACGGGCAAGCCAGAGAGAACTAAGAGCTCGAAGCCTAGAGAAATAGTCAGTTATAGCGAGGAGCGCACGAGCTGATTGGCGGGTTGTCAATATACGGTGCATTTGTTGCAATGTTTGTTGCCGCAGATTGTCGGCCTAATAATGTTTACAGAAAGGAAAACCACATCACAAAGCTTGTTCAAGGGATAATAATATTTTACAGAAATCACGCGCACAAAGAAAGAAAAATGCCAACAGCCCACAGTAAAATAGGAAGGAAATAGTATTTGAAAGAAAGTACCTGTCGTATGAAGCCTTCAAGAGTTCCTAGCTTCCCCATTGCCATTGCCATTTGACCCATGTAGTTTGCAACATTCTCTGATGAGCTAGAGGGGCCTAGTGATCCAGCCAAAGTATCTGCTAAGGACTGTAGCAATGCCTCCATCCCCTGAGACAGGGCATCTTCTGCCTGTTGGGAGGACTGCTGCAAGTTTGTAATGCCCGCCAGCTGCTGCTCGGTCAAAGGATCCAGTTGATTTTTAAGTAGCTGCAACCATGTAGAATTGAATTTAAAGTAAATAAATAGAAAAATAAGTAAATAAATGAATGAAGACATTTTACTTGCAGGTAATAATGAAAATAAATAAACAACGTAAAAATGCCAGGAGTGCACTCAGACATGATTGCCACAATTATGTTAAGAAAATAAATCTAAATTCATGAAAATCCCACATGAACAAAAATAAACCACTGTAAATAAATGAAGCTGGGCGTGTTAAAACATATAAGCTTGTCAATTCATCACAGTATCAATAAAAATGAACTAACATAATGAGCGGATAACTGATGCAGGAAAGGACCATAAAACAGGAGCACACCGACGCCTTTCCAAAAAGCATGTATTTTATCTGTGCCGATACCCTATCGGGCCTTGTTTAGTCTATGCACATACATGCAGTTCTAAACAAGCAGGTACCACATAACAAACAACTCAAACTGTCGATATTTTTACTCTCTGTGTATGTTTGATGGATGCAGCATATGCTAAAAGAGGTCTAAGCATAAAAACTCCTCATAAATGGTTAATAGGTTCAATCAGGCCTTGTTTAGACCTATTCACATCCATGCATATCTAAACAAGCACATCCCAGACAACTTAACGTTCAATATTTTTAGTCTTTGATGTACGTTCGATAAATTTAGCAGATGCCTAAAGGAGGTTAAAGCATAAATAAATAAACCCTTCATAAGCAATTATGGGATGACCAGAATAACCACATTAAATAGCGTGCCAGTACAGACCAAAAATATTACTTATGGAAAATGGTTCAGCAATAAAAAGTTTAAGGAAGCCCAGTGGATTTAGTGTGTCAGGAAGTAAACCTATCTAAGGGTGACCTATAGGTGAAAAAATAAAAGAAAAGAAAGAAGAACAGAATCATTAAATGACCATACCAAGTTACCGACATCTCCAGAAGTTACATATGTATAATCCAACAAAGAGAGAAGCAAAAACAGACCGCTCTACCTCTGTCTCCGTGGCTTTGGGTCTTGATTTACAAACCACAGGTCAAGGTTTCAAGACTGGTAGAAAGAAGAAGAAGAAAAAACAAAAGTAAAAACAGAAACAACAAATAGAACACATAAGAAAATCCCAAACTCGTATGAATATCATAAACACGAGGCGTGATCCACAACGTCCTAAATTAATCAACCACATCAACTAAGAAGAGTTTATGGAAACAAAGACAGGAAAGTATAGTACCATATAAAGATCTTAAATCGCGATGACAACAATAAGAAGCACATGTGCAACAAAGGGAACAACAATAAAAGAGGAGAGGTGGGAAAGACTCATTACTAGGTAGTCTGCAACTATGATTGCATTAATTTTACAAGCATGGTAACACAAAGATCTAAAGATCACAATAACAAGAAGAAGCACATGCACGACAATGAAAACAGTAACCAACAGGGGACGGTAAAAATTCATTACTTGGTAGTCTGCAACTATGATTGCCTCAATTTTAAAAGCAATTGATGTACACTTTTTACAGACAAACCTTTTCAGGACAACATTTTAAAGTAGTTGACTGAAAAAAGGTATAGGTAATCATTCGTAAAGATCAGCAGAAATGTGAATTAGGACCGAAGAACTGAAGTTGCATGATTTCCCTTCTTTTCCATATTCCGCTGCTATGATACTTTCAACTATTACTAGTCTCTATTACACCTGTCAATGGATCGGATTCTCCTATCAAAATTACATCACATCACATCTATCTAGGTTTATTTCAACCAAAGATATTAACAATCTAATGGTCTCGAGTATGAAAAATAAAACAATTAGTGTTCCGAACTTTAAACATTAAACTGATTTCCTCTCCCTCTACCACCCCAAGACCTTACAGCTAGGTTTTCAATTGCCACAGCTCCGTGGCTGAGCCTCTCTCGCTCATGCATGTGTATATTATATGATTGTCTATTCTTATAAGATCGATTCTCTTCAAATTCAATTCTTTATGGGAGATGATTATTGAGTTTAGATCAGCAATTGTTGCATGCATTTTGCTAAATACTCTTATTACAAGGGATTTAAAAAATGGATAAAAATTCCATGCTTTCATCACAATTTTTAATAATCCTTATGGGCCGTTTTGGGCTAGCTGCAAAATGATCAGAGCTGATTGGGATGTCAAATCAGAGATTCCTAACAATTAAGATTCAAATTTAAATCTCAGAGATTGAACAGATTATTAGGTTGGATCACTTTGAACATTTAACAAATCGGGGTTAGTATCACCCCTGAATCCCTGATGACAACATAATTTAGGATGAGGAATACTTAATAGAGGACCTTTAAGATTTTGCCGATCAACAGTCAACTAAACTCAACTCAAGAGAAATAAAAGTTCTTTCATCATTTTGTGTTTCAAAGGTGCTGAGATAATATGATGTTACTCCATTCCCCATCAAATCTTTAATTGCACTATGTTGGAAATAAGGTATCTACTAGGAAAGACAAATAAGGTAAAATAGGAAAGGGTGTAACTCACTCCAAGCCCTTTATAAACAAGAGAGAGAGAGGATCACGCAATAGAAGACAAGGAACTCCCAAGTTGCTTGCTCGCGAGAAAGAGGGTAGATAGAAGATAAGAAGGCTAGTTTTGGAGGAGGTGGGGGAAGTTTAAAACTCCTTCAAAACTATTACCAAATCCATCTACAAAGTTGAGTCTAATTTTCCCCACAGAACACCTATATGTAGGCTTTACAAAAAATCTAGAAACAGATTCTATCTTCTAAAAGTATCCCTGCCCAGCATAATAATACAATGCCTAAATTCAACTAGAAATTTTTTTAAAAAAATACAAAATTAATAATACTGATAATAATAAAACAATGGAACCACAGTAAAGAAAAGACTCCTACTATAATTTAATTACTTGAAATAAAATAAAGTGGCATGTCATCCACTTGCAAGTCCAATTTTATATATTCTTTTACAGATCAGGGAAGGTTCAACATATCTAGACAACCAAATTAGGATGCATTATTGGGGAGTTAATAGTTGTAATTTACGCTATATGTTGATCTGAGGTCAAATGCAAGGCCACAGGGGACCCTTGTTTAGGGAAGCAATCCAATACCTGATGTGGCATGATCCTGCACCACGCCACCAGGATTGCTATGTCTGAAGGTCCTTGATTTGGTGGCTAGAGTATGGGTTACCTTGTTATGGCTCTCGTTCCAGCTATTCTTGGAACAGTGAAGCCATCTACACACCGAACAGAAGAGAGTAGAAAGGTGTCATCAGGGTTATGTGGTGCTGCATGCAGATGCATCAGGCCTTGTTATCCACTTCCCTCGTAGCCTTAAGCCCCCCACAAATACATTTAGTGATTCTTTTTAACGGCTAGAAGGTTGGGAAACCTAATGAGGGAACAGGTTTGAAGGCTTAAAGCACCAGAACACCCTTTAGGGTAAGATACTGCCTTTTACAACCTTGCTCCACCACTTCATTCAGGATGCCTCTTACTGTCATGTGGACCAAGTCTATTGGGCTCTTTATCACATGCCTCCACTTCCTAGTAGGCCCAGATTCATCAATGGTTGTTTTCCTAAGACGCCCACCTACAATAAATATTGTATATCTGTTGAATACAAACAACTATCTAAGCCAACAACAATTAATCACAACAACAACATCGATGACAACAACAATTTCCATAAATGTGTATGTGTTTGGGGAGAGAGAGAGAGAGAGAGAGAGAGAGAGAGAGAGAGCATGCACTGTGTCTACTAGAATTACTTAATTGGAAATGAATAAAACATAATATGCAGATCTCACCTTAAGCAGTTCAGATGATCGGAACCCACCAAGCCATAAAAAACACCTCTCTGCAGGTGTCTTCCACATGCCAGACAATATATGGAAGACATCAGCTTTTGCAGCATCACCTTTTATCCTGAAGATATCATCATAATGTGCCAAGATGCCATCCACAATGATACGAAGTTCACCATCACCTGCATGGGAGTTGACAGCTCCTCTAAGCTCATTGATTCGTCGGTTTTGCTCTTCCAACCACCGTGCATATTCCACATCAAAAACCAAGGCTCCTACAAAACAAAGGGGACAATAGTTCATTCTTTTTCATTTAATTAAAACAAAAAAAGTTATCACTGCAAGAGAAGACTAATGTAGCAATAATAAATCAATCAAGTGATGAAAAAAAATTGGGTTCTTGCTTCTGATTGGACCACGTGGACAGCAGATCTGCTCCTTTCTAACATGTTGTCCAAACAAATGTAAGAAGCCTAACAACCGGCAGCTAAAAAATGCACCTAATTTTGCCCTCAAACAATAGTATGATGATAAATAAGGCACATGTCAAGCACATTCAAATCATACGAACATCAGAGATGATAATAAAAAAAGTAACACATACAATATTGTGTGCAACATTCATTCAAATTCATCATTTGAATCATGATCTCCCAAACTAAATAATTTTCATCTATGCCAAAAATTGTCATATTACAGTCTCCGAACTCCAGTCTATAGAAACTTTGAGTCAATAGACTCGATTATGCATAATGGCTCTCAAGGCCATAAACTGGAAACTCACCAGATGGATATCCAAATAGATTTTGGATGTAAGAAGGGTGTAAGGCAAGAGATCTTGCAATCCCCGTCCACTAGGGAATGAATGCTGGAACCACTGCCAGTCCACCATCATCCTGACATAAAACACCTGAAGTCATCTGCTTCTAGACAAGGGTAACACTTTTAAATCTTCTCAACCCTTTTCTGCCACCATAGCTCATGAAAAAAGCTAATGAGCTATGGTGAAACTATGATGGCAGTCGTAAAACTAAGGCTGGTAAAAGAACAAGCTACTAGTGAACAGATCCTATTCACTCACAAGTGAGTGCCTTCAAGCATGTTTCTCATGAAAACAAGCTACCTCGAGCTCCAGATTCAAGCTTGTTTCAATAGCAAAATAATCTCATTTCCAGACTCAAACTTAGATTTGAAATAAGTATTGGGCAGTGGTAGAAACATTTCTTTGACAACTTGTAAAGAGAGAACAATTTAAGAGATTTTCAACATATAACATAAAGCTAAGGAGGGGTGATGAGAATTGGCTAAACTTTGGGATAATAATGGTTTGCTTGGTTTATCACTCATAAAACAGTCTTCTGTTTTCATAGAACTGAAAATCAGAAAACTGTACAAAAACCTGCTTGGTTCAGTTTTCTGAAAACGGTTTTTTGAAAACTCAGTTATAGAAAGGCCTATTTTTATAGAATTGTCTTTTATAGTTAACTGTTTTCTAAGTTCCTGAGAACTATTTTCTGAGTGACAAACCAAGCAAGCCTTATCGGCAATTTACAAAAGACTTACTGGACCACATGGATCCATGTATATACCCCCTAGTTTCTGCAATTAGGGTATTGACATTAACTAAATCAAATACAACCCTAAAGGCAGTACCCAATTCTGGCCCCACCACAACAGTGTCCTAGCGAGGGAGGACCTGAGACAAAACCTAAACTTTGGTATTTCACAAAGTAGACACTCTAAGACTTGGTGGCACTGATACTAAAGCATCTCATTGCTGAACCAGACAACGGCCCTCTTTAAAACATAGAAATTATATACAACCATTTTCACTGAAAGACATGAAATGTAATTATAATAGCCAAGTGAAAAAAGCAAGGAGAGTAACTGCAAAATAGGTTATTTCATTGGAGAGATGTTTCACGAGGAGAAGGGCACAATATGCATGACTCAATGCAGTATCCAACAAGATTTGTCTGAGCGAACCACAAGTCACAACAGAAAAAATATAGGGTAAAGAAACCTCAAAATAATCTAAATGCAATTTCACAAATACAGAAATGTACTTCTTTTTCAAGTCTTAACCATTGACTGAGTCATGCTGTGAAACGCTAAGAAAATCATTGAACCGATGGATGGAATGAACATAAAATCATCCTATATCAAATATGAAGTGAGCCTACAGTTTGAAACATAAAGGATTTTCAATCATTTTTAAAATATGCATAAATTTTTTAATACATTTTAAAATAATCATTACGATGGCCCTTCTATGCTAAGAAAATAATGGTTATTTGCTGCATGAATGGGGAAGAAATTTGGTGGAAAGGTAATGGCAAATGAATTTTAGACCAAGCTGGGGACCTTTCCTATCAAATAAAATGGTAGAGGTAACAGCTAACTCATTTATAAAACTACAGAAAGAAGACAATAGTAAAGAGATGTATTGCAACAAACAGAAGTGTGGTTATATCAGATTCTGTTTGAGTCATTTGAGATATTGATTGATTACACGCCATAGAACAAAGAAGATAATAGTAAAGATAAATAATGAAACAAAAAGAAGTCTGATTAGATCATATTCTGTTACAAAGTCATTTGAGATATTGATTGATTACACACCATAGAACAATTTATTAAATAGCAGCAGATAGTAATTATTCCACTTTCACTACATAGCAAAACATTCACATTACAAAATTTCATTTCAAAATCAGATACTCTCATCCGGAACAATTACATTATAATGAGCAGATTGATGTCAGAAGAAGATGGTAGTACCATTTCCAGTCATCGACTGAGACTGATCTCCCGCACTTGAAATGAAAATGCCCTTCGGAAGAGAGAAAAATATTTAAATAATGAATTCTGTAAGATTAATGAATTGAAGCATGCAAAAGGGGGGAAATTGGACAGAAAAAAAGTAAACACCAATGACTAGTTAAATGGAACCTGCTGCCGAGCGCGTTGAAGCTCCTGCTCAAGTTGGGTCAACTTCATTCTGCTACTCTCTAGCTGTTGGACATAAGCCTGAGAAAATGGGGAAAAGGAAAGGAAGATTTAAGGCCAAAAATATTAACTTAATTCATAAAAAACAAAACTAAAAAAGAATTCAAAAAAGTAGCCACCAAAGAACATATGTACATGCATGTTTTAGATAAGAATTAAAATTTACTAGGCTGCCTGGGCTGCAGAAGCAAAAAGAGTGCTGCAGATCTTTAATGACAATCCCCAAACAGGCATTTTAAGGAGTCATTCCGATTCCCTCTACACTTACTTTTGGAGAATGGCAGCCTAAAGATAACTGCTTCACTTGTTTAAAAAAAAATTCAACAAGTAATCTCTCATTTAATTTCACCAATGTTTTGACTCAGTTATAGAGTTTTTTTGTGCTCATTAGGAAAACATGCGTCAACTTATACATATAATATCAATACAACATACCTTATAAATTTTATGTCATGCTGTAGCGGACATATCAATCGGAGATGAAATAAGATCATGGAACAAAACGATAGTAACAGAATGTAAAAAACACCACACAACCACATTTTGAACGCTTCATGTTCATTTGACATAAATGCTATCAATAGAGACACTTTTAGGCCAATGTATTAGGTTGGTATGACTTTCTATGAACCTTCAAATAATATTTTGATAGCATCAACGATTTTAATTATGATAATTACTCTAAAAGTTTCATCCAAATAGATTTCATGGAAGAGAATGCTCGGAAATTAAAAGGCAACATATTTAAAAATGAATTTAGTAGATATGTGAATGTTGACATGGACGCGTGGCAAAAGGATTAATGAACACAATCATGAAATGGTTGAAATAGCATTTATTACAAATAAAATGAGAGAAAACCAATTAAGATAATTTGGCTATGTCCAGTGAGGCCAATAATTGTAACGGTTAAGAATAATGAGGTAGTTCTTATTGAGTATTGCTAGAGGGAGGAAAGGCCAAAACTAACATGAATGAGATAGTTAGGAGAGCTATGGTAGTTTGCTGTTAATTTGGATTATTACCATAGAGCAGAATGGCCAAACAGAATTTGTGTAACCGGCCCCACATAATTGGAAAAGAGTAGTGAATTGAGTTAAACAGACTTTAAAGTTATCTATGCTATCTTTATATTCAAGGAGATAAAGTGGCTAATATTTGCGATTTACAATTTTTTTTTTGGTAAGGTTTCATTGGAAGGGCACTCAAAAGGGGAGCGAATCCCGAAACAGCTACACAAAAAAAAAAGGAAAGCTATACTCGTTTGCTATCCATGACAAGCTATACTCGTTTGCTATCCACAACATCTACCAACTACCCCAAAGATTTACAATTTTTTTCCATGGATTAGCGGTTTACAATGATTACAATGACATCTTATCAGAGGCATTGAGATTAGGCGCCACAACGCTACTATAGAAGGCCTACAAGTGTGATTGCTTAAATGAGTGAAGTAGTAAAACAGCCTTAGATCTCCTATGCTTAAAGAATCTCAGGCAAAGACAAGGTTATAGAAACACAATAAAAGCATCACTATCATATATGCGCAGATATATTTTTTGTTAAGTTGTCTTTATGTTGTAGCATCATATGAGTCTTCATGTTACTAAAAAACTAGTACATAAAAATAAAAATATAAAAAGAAGATTAAGGATATATATATTGAAAAAGATTATATATAAAAAAATTCCACAGTGTACACACATTATATCATATAATTCAGATGAAAGGAAACTCAGGTATCATCATAATTTCACAGAATTAGAATGCCATTACTTAAAGGTCTTGAAATTTCTACAAAATAGCAAACTTGAACTTGAGAAAGCTATATTTTATGGAAGAATAAGGAACTGGAAATGAATCTATCCAAAATAAAGTGAAATTTTAGAAACTGAACTTGATCAAGTCATAAATTTCAAAAAGTCACTCGAATTGAGGACTGAAAAAACATGCAATTGAATAAGAAAAATCGAAAGACACTAATCCAAACCTCAATAATGGAACTGAGAAATTAGAAAAACTGCTAAGATGAATAAACCTTTAGGAGATAAGGTTGGTTTAGATTTTGTTGATAAACCTAATAATCTTCTACGGCTAACTCTTGTAAAATAGAGAAGTCCCTAAAAAATTTTAATATCCTTGGCATTCTAAGATTTATCATTACTCATATATTAAGCAAGAGGGTCACATTAATTTATTTATTTTTCATTGAAAATAAAATGTTTTGCATAAATGACAAGCTTAAAAAGTAAGAAGAATGAGAAATACGAGTTTAAAAATGCTAATGTAAGCCATAAGGTAAACACATTGTTCTTTAGCTTTGCGCAAGAAATTTTAAACAAGCCTAAAGTTTGAAACAAGTAGAGAATTCATCAAAAAAGAAGCATTCTCAGACTCAAGAGAAACTTGAGTTGAAAAAAGAAAGATTTGAAATTTTCTTCTAAGTCTTCTATACAAACGTCTAAAGAGACCTAAAAAGACGAAGCTTGCTTTGTAGAATCGAAAAGGAGATGTCTTAGGATAATTTGTTATCAAACTATCTAAAGCACCACCCACTTTGCCTACTAATATTCATATGACTTTACATCTCTATTTGGTGCATCACTATAGCATATTCACATGTTGTTACCAGGCATCTTGCACACTTCCGTACTCCTGTAAAGATGGGATGATCCCTATCCCATTTTCAGGTTCAAAATTTTTTTAGAACACCACTGGAAATGAGGGGGGGCAGCGGTGACCTCAAGATTCCCTATTCTCTCCTGGCTCTTTGTCCACCACTGATACATGACCTCTCTCTTAAAGCCGCCTATTCCACCCTAACCAATCTCTTGGAATTTCCATTATCCTACACAAAATACTCCCATCTCCTAAACCTACCTAACCTTAACACTCACAACATTCTTCAGCATATACAATACTTGTACCATCAAATTTCAATGTGAAAAATCAAAACAAAGAGTTTTGAAAGTTTCTCTTAGATCTGAATATTTGTTATCACATGCATAAAATCTAATCAAAAGTGTGAATGATAAATCTATAAAGAGAAAAGGGAAAAGAAAACATCAAAAGAAAACAACATTACACAGAGTAAGGAAAAAATCAAAATGAGAATTTGTTTTGGGATATTGTATATCCCAAAAGTCTGTAATATATTAGATCTGTATACACGTGCCAAAATATCAGTAAATTTAATGTACAAGTGGGTATATTATGACAAATGACAATGCAGAGGAATATAATATATATATATCAAAAATACATTGCCAATGTCATGAAATATCACACTCCATTTTAAAACTGAAACTCAGCAAGATTTTTTCTAGATGTCATGTCAGGTTCATGTAAGTTGCAATCTCATGAAGCAATATGAGACATAAAAAATTTTAAAATTCATCACGTTACATTGTTTGAATAATCAATGAAGTGTGAGATTCGATCATCTTGAAGAATTCTACTTGAGTTGAACTATGTAGAATAGCATTCCCAGCATTTCACATAATGACTTGCAATAATTCATGAGGACAATGCCAAAAAATAAATAAGTACAGGAAATATTATCCACATGATAACAGAACCTACTTTTTTCCTTAAACGGCTCTTTCTCGCAGCCTCACGATTTTGTGCAAGCCTACGAAGCGTCTGCAGTAGTATCATAAAACAAGAAAAATAAGAAATTCATCACTTTAACTCAGTTGATGTCATAAACGTAATTAAAACCCTTAAACCTTTTGATCCCTTGACTTGTCACTGGCATCAGAACCAACAATTTGCAGAGAGTGATCATTTTGAAACTGTAAACATGAATTCTGAACACCATCAGTACAATATCAAAATGCTTTAGAATAGATAGTCCAAACTTCAGCAAAGAAAGGAAAAGGTATCAACATACAAGGTCAAGATAAAGGTGCATGCAAAACAGTAAGTAGGTGGCATGCATCAATGGAAATAAAGAATAAATACTTGGATACAGAACACTGCAACTAAAACTGAAAAGAAGAATTAGAGACATCACCCCCGAATTCTTATCTTCAGTGTCTGCGTCTGTTGAAGTATCAGTCCTAGGACTAACTTCAGTCATCATGGATTCTCCCCAGTTCTGCCAATGTCAACTTGAGATTGAAATCAGATTTAATTGCTGACTCTTTTGTGATGCCAATGTCTCACGGTCCAGTCCTAACTGCAGGTTGATTTGTGCTAGAAAAAGTTGCTAATGACTCTGCAAATACAATGAAAATACTAAGTATTAACTACAGGAAGTAATAACTTTCTAATTTCAGAGTCAAAAGCATACAACCCATGTGTCAAAAAAATGTGTACCTTATCAAAAGGCAAAATAAACTTTTCCCAGGAGATGACCATTTGAAATTGAAACCAGATTTGGTTGCTGACTCCTGCAATGTCATGCAAACCAGTCTTAGCTGCAGACGACTTTAACTTAAGGAACTTTCTTTTAAAAAATGGAAACGAAGCACTGCAAATTTTTAGAATTGTATTTGTAACCTAAAAGCTTTAAGTAGTCGAAATTAATATACCTAAGAATTTAAGGGTAAAACTATTAATTTAGATTAAACGTAAAAGCCACCTTTCACGTTGCAGACACTGTATTTAGTGATTAGTTCTCTTTCGATTAAAATTCAGACTAATTTAAGTGGAATTTCCCTTTTAAGTTATAACTGATTGTCCGTACCAAAAGCTTTTTAATAGATAAACTACCGAAGAATTTCAGTATTATTTTTCAACAACACTGAAGTTGCAGACTGACTCAGCAGTGGCAGAAAAAGAAAATCCTAAGCATTAGCAGAAGAAAGCAATAATATAATGACCTTAAATTTTCGTAAGTAATTTTTTTCTATAAGTAGGGTAAAACAATGATCAGATGCTTCAATGATCTCTTAATGAAGGAATATCCTCAATGAAGGTTCAGCAGCAGAGAGACCTTGCCACTGATTGTCCATGAAATCTCTCCAAAGGGGCCACTATGAAATTATATTTAATATGAGTACTTCTGTTCATAGTTGAACCGTATGGCCAGATTTTATATTCTGATAGATATCTATCTACAGATCGTGTATCCACTTGAACCCCTTGGAGCATTTCAAAGATCAAAACGGGCATCCTGATTTATTTTATACACAGTTCAAACGAAGAGCAGGATTTGAGAAAGCGTACACCACTAGGTGTGCATTTGACTAGTTATAACCCACCTTAAAGTATTTAAATATGGCACAACTCAAGGATATGTAGCTGACTTGTCATAGCCCACTTTGAGATACGCGAATATGGCACAACCAGTTGGGATAATATGGGGTTGTGGCTAGGGCTACAAACAGACAAAGCCAATCCAAGCTTTAGATTATTTGGGCCTGGCTCACCATAGTACATAAAGGTGTTCAAGCTCAGCTCGTGTTCAAATGAGCTTGGCCTAACCAATCTCAGGCTATGCTCGCCAAAGTTTAGTGAAGCTCAGGCTTAGCTCAAGCTCATTCACATTATACATATATGCATCTATAAATATCACCAATTATATAGTTAGATCTCTACGTATATTGAATATATGAACGTAATACACACCTAAAACAGTTAAACATTTGTGGGAACCTACGATCACACTCCAACCATACCCTGATAATACATTCATTTGATTTTTTTTTTTGGGGGGGGAGTCACTAAGAGTTGAGAGAGAGACAGAGAGACATCTGATGCGGCTAAGATTTATATCTTTATCCTTGCAATAGGGCTTTATTAATCATTGTAGCCCTTAGATTGCTTCAAATTGATCGGTCTAAATGAACAATTTAAAGTCTAACAACATTTGGGCCATAACAAGATACAATCCATATTTGGCTTTTAAACATATTCCTGATTATAAGAGTGAAGTGACAAACCATATACCTTATATTTACTAGGCCATATCTGTTCATGCACTTGGCCAGCCAAGATTGGGTCTGTTCAAGCTCAATTCATTTATGAAACAAGTTTAAAATTGGGCTCCGGCTCAATTCATTTACCAATTGAGCGAGCTTGAGTTACCACAATAACTAGTTGAGACTGAAAAGATCGGTTCAGCCTAGTTAGGATAATGTAATCTACTCTTCTTATGAAGGAGGGCAAGCTTGGCACAATAGTAAGGTTGCTCCATTGTGACCTAGAGGTCACGGGTTCATAACAAGGAAACAGCCTCTCTGCATGCGGAGGTAAGATTGCGTACATTTAACCCTCCCCAGATGCCTCAATGGCAGGAGCCTCGTGGACTAGGTTTGCCCTTTAATCTTCTCATGAAGAAATTTTTTGATTTAATTCTAACAGCTAGATGCAATTTGACAACAAAAGTTATACGCCTTGATCACAAAGCAACCATATAGACAGACAACATCATCCGTGCAGAGTACTGCCATCAGTCTAGCCCCTAATATATTAAGACAACTCTTTACATTGCCAATGAGGCTTATGATGGGAGTTTGGTATCGTAGCCACCCCTTAGCAAAATTGCCTAGGCTATAGCTGTTTTTTTATTTATAAGTAAGATTAAAACTCAATCAACCAATGAGAACATATTGCCTAGGCTATAGCTGAAATGCTACTTATCATTTCGCTTTAACAGGATAGCCATAATGTACATGGAGACACCCTACTGATTCGAGTGGAGGTAGGCATTTATTACTAGACAAACTATGTCGACATGAGAACCACCTCATTCACCTTTAACTATAAATAGACTTATTGTATACAAGGACCAGATCAAGAGATCTTTCTCAGCAACGTCATTGAAATCCTTCATTTACCCCTATATTTGAGGCTGACCTTGTTGAGTATGGTGATTTACACTACTGTACTCTCTTTCTCTCAAGTTACCTTTAACCTCTATCCTAACAAATACTCTCTCGAGTTACCTTCAACCTCTATCTCTCAAGTGTAATACGGTAATACCTTCTCCCTCTATAACATCAATTTGACACACATATATAAAACTCAACATAGATTTCCCATCACAAACCTTGATCAAGTGACAGCTTGCTTTGAATATATTTTGAGACATACTTTTCAAAATGGATAGTAATCTATTAAATTTAGTGTTATTTCGAGACCAAAAGCAGGTGAAACTGGGGGAAATCATGTCACAGACGGAAAAAGTTCATTGGAAAGTGAAATTTCCGGTGAATTTTAGGTTAGAACAACTCCCTTGGACTGCACATTGCCACCAACTAATTAAGCATATGGATGCATGTATGGCCCATTTCGGGGATATGCTGGGTTTAAACGGTCCCATTTGATGGACGTGATTCAGTTTGCCTTTCTAAAATCAGTCCAATCAAATTTTACCGAGTTACCAGACAACCAGTTTGACTCCTCATTTTGTTTGAATTGCAATAATCAGATTGTCCAAAGTGTGATTACATGAATTGCTTATGAAGTGGTTGGTGTGGAACTGTGGATCAAATTGAACATTGATGTAAGAAACCATGGTTAAAACTAGATAAATGACATACTCAGGGAGACACGAGACATTTTAATTACTTGATATTAGAAGTGAAGGTCAATTTAGGAAGGGAAAAAAAACTGAAAGTCAATCTAAAATGGAATAGTTCTTCGGGCTTATAGAAGTGAAGGTCTATTTAGGAAGGGAGAAAAAACTGAAAGTCAATCTAAGATGGAATAGTTCTTCGGGCTTAAGCTCCTTAATGGCCACCTCCCTTCCCAACCAACTAAAGGAACAAACTACTAAATAATAACAAAATTAATACTGATACTTAATAATAAGAGCCTAAGCTCCCTAGACAACTACAATTATTAACAAATGGTGCATTCTGACAATGACTGGAAATGACACATGATGTATAAGAAACACGTTAGACAAGTTAGACGTGGTTCCAATAATTTAGCAAAATACGTCAAATTTGGAATTGTGGATGATACTTGAATTGACTCGTAAAGTATGTATGATCCTATCCATACATGGGTGGACTGTGTGTGAACCCTTTTGGCCATGTGTGCTTGATTTGAGTGAATTGTATACTAGAATGTGATTCCTATTTGTTTATTAATGCCATCTCAACCACATCAAAAGAACACCCCTCATTGTTCTTTTAAACGCTTCCACACAAGCCATAGTGGCACAGTTCTCTGAAATTCCAAACCTAACTAGCTCTTCAACTAAAACAACCTCCCACCAACTTTCAATCAAAGCAAACCAATCTAGGCATGACCCAACACACACCAAATAAGGAGAACATAAGGCATCATGAGTCTCTATCAACAAGACAATACAACAAGAGGTACTTTCTTTCACAAGCAACTATAGTCTGGGAAAGTTTTTAACCCTTTGTCCTGAATTGACAATGGTAAACATCTCCAAATTTGAAAAGCATACAATAATTTGCAGGATTATTAATCTCAAGGAACCTAGAGCACTCTCATGACAAAAAAAAACCCTAAAAAAACCAACTCATCCTGAACTTATCTCTGCTACCTTCCTTCCACCTCATAACGTCCTTTCTATCCCCATAACAATTGCCCCGTATAACATGTCAAATCAGGAATCGATTATCTACCACCTCCAATTACCAATCCTTCATAGCCTTAGGAAACCAGGGTTCTCAAACCACTCCACTCCAAGTCAATCAAGCATAATCCATTGCCGACAAATCTTTTACCAAGAAGAAATTTTTAAATGGGATGGGAAAACCCCTTTTAGTGCCACACAAAAACTAAAACAGATGTCACGCAATAACTCACCTTCAGACCATTGCGATCAAAGAAACTGATGTACTCAACGAACTCCTCTAGCATCTTCCTCACTCCCTTCCACAACCCCAACCCATCAGAACTCCTAACTCCCTTCAAAATCAAACCACCCTTTAGACCCCTATCATTCCCAAATTTTCCCTTCACTACCTTGTTCCACCCATATATAATGCACAACAAAAATGGAGCATTAGTTTGCAAAAGATTACAGCTTTTTTATACTGCTGCGAGATAATCTTTCGTGTATTGAGTTCCAAAACAAACATCAGAAATGAAACGTAACCCAGTTACTTTAATCCATTTGAGCATCTAAATGAAAGAGAATAAAGCATACAGGGAAAATTCTGCATAACAAAAGAAAACCCCACAGCAGATAATTGAGCATTAGAGCTTTTTTATACAGTTTCCATATAATCTTTCGGTGTCTTGAGTTCCAAAACAAACATCAGAAATGAAACAAAACCCAGTTGTTCTAATCTATTTTAGCATCGAAACGAAATAGAAAAAATCATATAGGGCAAATTCTGAATAAGAAAAGAAAAGCCCACAGTAGATATACTTACATACATGTATATATCTATACATACATACATACACACACACACATATATATATATATAACAAATGAAATCTAAAAACTTACAGAGAAAGGGAGAAGTTCGGCATCACAGCCACCACTGGCTTAGCATCTTCTGAACCAACAAAGCTTCGATCACTGTTGTGTGACTCGTACCAGCAAACCCACTAATCAGCAATCACCACCACCACCACGAAGTTGAGCTCATCAAACACAGCAAAACCCAGAGAACCCTTCAATCCACAAAGGACCCAAATACTGGAATAGGCGAAAAGTGATGTGCTTTCAGTTTCAGAGGCTCTTCAAGATCAACATCGCCAATTTTGACTTTTGGTATATGGTTTTTCTTCTTTAGTACGAGTAATTTATTTTAGGTTTTTATACGGTTCGTACAGTTCTCTAATCTTCATTTTATTTTTATTTTTATTTTTATTTTTTCATTTTCTTTTGATTGGTAGTTGCTATGGTCAAATTAGGAAGACTTTTGTCAAATCAATTGTTGTCACGAAATTTTAGCAAATTATTTTCGCAAAATATTCTGATTATGACTTTCCACTTAACTATTTAAGTATTTCAACTATTTAAGTATTTCAATAAAGGAAATGATACAATTATTTTTAAGGGTAATTTGCACTCATAATTCCCTGTGTTTGGAATAAAAATAAGCAGATACAATTTAGAAATAGTGTTATTCATTACTCACAAATTTATAAACTTAAACAATACTCAATTATGATAAGAATACATAATTGTCTTTTTAACTTTTAAATTGACCAATTTAAATTATTAAAGTACAATATTAATCTTTAAAAGTTCTTTTATTTGACCAAATTGCCCCTTAGCCAAAAAAACAAACAAACAAACACCACCATTGTGGACACCAACACCATATGCAAATAAACAGGGATAGAGTCAGGAGTTTTTAATTAGGGCAACCAAATTAGTAATGTAAAATTATAATTTTAAAATAATATAAAATCATTATATATATATATTTGTGCATGTTTAATGCCATCCCAGAAATAGATGGATTTATACTATCTAGTACTTAGACAAAATTCTAATACAAAACTCGACTTTCCATCCCAAAAAGTAGAAAATATAATTTTTAAATATATAAATATATTTTTTTATTCCGTAGTAATATATTAAATATTAAAAAACTATTTTTAATATTCAAATATTAAATAACACCTTCAAGTAAACACACAAGCTAATCTTTTTATTTCTTAGTGTTTACTTAAACATTACTTATACAACATGCCATATTTTTCTTCTACCAAAAAAAAAAAAAAAAAAAAAAAATCACAATAAAGTCATATTTATTTTTTCATTATTTAGGGTCATTTTGATCAATTAATAGAAGGTCATAAAGGTAATTTAATGATTCACGTGTGTCAATTCAAAAGTTAAAGGGTAAATACGTATTTTTATTATAGTTGGGTGTCTTTGTTTATTTTACCAAATTCGGGGGGTGTCATTGTCCAAAAAGTATTTAAGTTATAGTTGACTCTTTAACCCAAACTTGGAAGGTATCATTGCAATTTATTCTATTTTTAAAATATATATTTTATTTAAAATTATAAAAATTATTTGTTTTAGGATAGAATTTTTATTTTATTAATTTCTGTATGAAGTCTCATTTTCTCAAATGATCAAATTCTATGATTTTTTTTATTTAAAATAGGGCTTATAAATCTTTCTTTGATCTCTCTTTCCTCTCAATTCCATTTTTCTTTTTAGAGATACATGTAAGATGTTCGGAAAGGAACTCTAGGGTCCTCGACACATGAATTTTCATTTGAGGGAGCTATATTGGTAAATGTGAAAATAATAATCAAACTAGTGGGTGAAAAAAAAAATTTACATATTACATATATAAATTATATTTTATTTTGGAAGTCGATATTCACACCCCACTTTTCTCCAATTACACTATATTTATCTTTTTCTTTTAAAAGAACGGACAAGAAGGTCCATAAATTCATTAATGCACTATCTGTGATTTATAATGTCATAAATATCATTTATTTAACTTTAATATATTTTTATCTTCTTTACTATATTTACTATTTTTTTTTTCCTTTCTATTTGTTTTTTTTCAATGTTCCTCCCAAATAAAATAATTTATTCCATACTAATAATTTAATTTTTAATAATCAAAATAAATAATTTATTCCATAATGATATATTTTTGTTTTGGTACAATTGAAAGGAATATTATTCAACAAAGTTAACTTTTTTTCAGTCAAAAGACGTAACTTTTTTTTTTTTTTTTTTGGATAATTTTTTAGGGGTTAGTCAAAAGAAATAATTTATTAGATAAAAATAAATTTTTTTTTTGGTCTTATCAAAAGAGATAATTTATTCAATATAGATTAAAAAAAAATTAATCCTCTTCTTTTCATACTTTTTTTTTTTTTTTTTTCTTTTGGGGGATCTTGACAAAAAATATAATTTCTTCAATAAATAAATTTTTTTCAGGTTTTTTTTCATGTCAAAAGAGATAATTTTTTTAATAGTTACTTTTTATTTTTTTGCTCCAGTCAAAAGAGTCAATTTTTTCAACAAAAAATTTTATTTCTTGGTCCCCTAAAAAAAAAAAATTATTCAATTAATTTTTTGTCTCGTTAAAAGAGACCTCAAAAATAATAAAGATTAAAAATAAGGAGAGAAAATTTAAAATAATAGTTTGTCATTTAACAAGTAATAATTATTTACTTGTAAAGTTAGGGTTAGAATTGCTATTTCATTTAAGATTGTAATGCAAACTATGGGTGCAACTTGGGCAGTCCCAACCCAACCACCTCAACCCGAAATCAGGTTGCGTTGGACCAACCCGAATATTTTGGGCACATCGCCAGGTTTCATGGGTCATTTTTTTTTTTTTTTCTTTTTTTTTTTCTTTTTCAAATATGCATATTACATTTTCCTTTTCCATGTTTGTAAATATCAAAATTTTTTCGAAAATTTTATTTTGTTAAACATCAATATTTTGGGCGAGTTGGTCACAGGTCAACATTTTGTTTTATTTTTTATTTTTTTGCAAATATGCAAATTATATTTTCCTTTTCCATGTTTATAAACATCAAAATTTTAAAAAAAAAATTTATTTTTTAAACATCAATATTTTGGGCGGGACAATCTGGTTTCATAGGTCAAATTATTATTATTATTATTATTTTTACAAATATGCAAATTACATTTTCCTATTCCATGTTTTTAAACATCAATATTTTAAAGAAAAATTTATTTTTTATAAAGCAATATTTTGGGCAGGTCGGTCAGGTTTCATGGGTCAATTTTTTTATTTGTTATGCAAATTACATTTTCCATTTCTATATTTGTAAACATCAAAATTTTTAAGAAATTTTTATTTTTCAAACATTAATATTTTGGGCCGGTCGGTCGGGTTTCAAAGGTCTCTCTTTTTTTTTTTTTCTTTTTTTCTTTTTTTTTTAAATATGCAAATTACATTTTCCTTTTCCATGTTTGTAAACATCAAAATTTTTAAGAAATTTTTATTTTTTAAACATCAATATTTTGGGCGAGTTGGTCGGGTTTCACGGGTCAATTTTTCTATTTTTTTTGCAAATATGCAAATTACATTTTATTTTTCCATGTTTGTAAACATCAAAATTTTTAAAAAAAATTTATTTTTAAACATCAATATTTTGGGTGGATCGGTCGGGTTTCACAGGTCATTTTTTTTTTTTCAAATATGAAAAATACATTTTCCTTTTCAATGTTTGTAAGCATTAAAATTTTTAAGAAAATTTTATTTTTTAAACATCAATATTTTTGGCAGGTCGCTCGAGTTTCACATGTTTTTATTTTTTTTTACAAATATGCAAATTACACTTTCCTTTTCCATGTTTTTAAACATCAAATTTTTAAAAAAAAATTTTATTTTTTAAACATCAATATTTTGAGCAGATCGGTCGGGTTTCATGAGTCTTTTTTTATTTTATTTTATACAAATATGCAAATTACATTTTCATTTTCTATGTTTGTAAACATCAAAATTATTAATAAAATTTTATTTTTAAACATTAATATTTTGGTCGAGTCAGACGGGTTTCACGGGTCAAAATTTATTTATTTATTTATTTTTTTGGCAAATATGCAAATTGCATTTTCCTTTTCCATGTTTGTAAACATCAAAATTTTTAAGAAAATTTTATTTTTTAAATATCAATATTTTGGGCGGGTTGGTAGGGTTTCACGAGTCAATAATTTTTTTATTTTTACAAATATGCAAATTACATTTTCTTTTTCCATATTTGTAAACATCAAAAATTTTGTTTTTTAAACATCAATATTTTAGGCGGGTTGGTAGGGTTTCACGGGTCAATAATTCTTTTATTTTTACAAATATGCAAATTACATTTTCCTTTTCCATGTTTGTAAACAAAAAAATTTTAAGAAATTTTTTGTTTTAAACATCAATATTTTGGAAGGGTGGGACGGGTTTCATGGGTTATTTTTATTTTTATTTTTTTTTATTATTTTTTTTTTGATATGCAAATTACATTTTCCTTTTCCATCTTATTAAACTTCAAAATTTTTAAGAAAATTTTATTTTTTAAAATAAATTTTTTTTTTTTCTTAAGTTTCTTTTATTTTCTTATTTTGAGTTTTAGGTTAGGTTCGAGTTGAGCCCAAGCAAAACCCAAACATGCTTGGGTTTTGAGAAAACCCAACCCAATTTGAGCCCAATTTTTAAATTTTCTGGGCTGGATTTGGGTTGGGCTGGGTTAGCTTGCCTAAGTTGCACCCCTAGTGCAAACGTTAAAAAGTGAAGTACGGATATCGTCTCCTTTTATTTTACTTTTATAATATAAGTTTTATTATATATTTTGAATCTAAAATAATAATAATCTATAAATTAAAAGTATTATAATTTCTATAAATTAAAAATATACTCGTATAAGAATGTAGAACGACAAAAAGTAAAACACATGATCACAAATTATTATTGTTGTTATTATTATTATTATTATTATTATTATCAATTGACACTTAATATAGCTTTTTCTTCCTTTTTTTTTTTTTTTTTGACAAATAATGTACGTACTCACTTTGCACCTATGGTGAGTCGAATCCTCAACATTCTAATATATAAAATAAAAGAGAACTATTATGTAACGTCTGGTGTACATGAATGGAATGCTCATTCCAACCATTCTTTTGTTTAGTATGCAATTTAAAGTAGGAATCACCATTCCATTGAAATGAAAATCCACCAATGGGCCAGTAGCGTAGCGGTATCAACCTCTTATTTTTCAAAGAGAGATCAAGGGTTCAAGTCTCAAAAGAGACATGTGTGTGTAAGTACCAATTAGGAAAAAAAA